GATGGAAGTTGGTGCAGAGTTGGCATATATATAGTAGTAAAAACGTTTTTTTGGTGTGTGTGTGTGGGAAGAGGGAAGCGAGAAGGGAGAAGGAAGGAGCGAAGGGGTGAGTGAATTACGGACATGTTCAAGGGGTACCTTACGAGATAGCATGATATCGTCCTCTTAGCCCTATGATTTGTAGAGAACAATCCTCGCTATCATGAAAATGGCCTTACGGAGCTGGATCTTATATCGAGCTCTAATAATCATAAAGTACTGCTTCTTTGACATCGTCGCCTCGCGTTGATTCGCCGCCGGGCCTACTCCTCTTTACATTTACATAATTGCAGCTAACTCGCGCACCACAGTGTCTGTCCTTGGTCTGTTTACGATCCTATCGTATAAAGCTAGCGAACAAACTCTATATACGAGTATCGCGGAAGGGGTCGAGGGAATGTGCTATAAGTGAGGAAGCTCATCTTGATTCTGCGCTTTACAAAACTTGCATTGCAGATACGCTAGGCAGGTACTTTTCACGTTATGCCCGGACAGTTGGGAACAGAGGAGGAGGCTTTTCGCCGAAAGCCTGAGCGGGTAGAGTTGGTGAGAGCGCGATATCTTGCCCAGTCACCGCTGTAGTTCGTGGTTATTGTTTACTCTTCCCGCGGCCTAGGTAGTACAGAGCTGCCAAGAATTTTCACTTCTTGCATCACTTTCTTTCCGAAAGGAGTTCTTGTGCATGCGTGCAAAGCGCAGTGAGCTGATTGCTGCAAGATTCGTTGGAATACTTGGTCAGAAGCAGATATTTCTCTACCAGTAGATCGCTGTGGCACCACGCATGACACAGCCACATCTCCCAACCACCTTCCCTCTCATGATCATCCTATCCCTCTCGCCTCTTCTTCTTCTTCATCACCGACAACCATCTATAAAAACCAAGAGCACACCGGCTTTAATCATCCTCAATGACCAGAGTGTTATACCCTGGCCTTTACATCCAATCTCAAGGAATATCAAACAATTAGAAGACGACATTTTGTTCATAGCCTTGCATGGATCAGATATGTAAGGTATATGATAATCTCAGGTCAAACGCTTACCTGGCTCCTTTTTTGGCTTGGACTATTGAATTTGAAGTGGAAGTGTAGTGTTGTTGTGTTGCTCTGCTCCGTTTGCTGTCGATTAATTTGGGAGTTGAAAGTCGACTCGTTCCTGCCCGTTTGCATGTAGGCGCTAGTGGATAAAGTGGATCCAAACACGTGATGTGAAGTTGAGAGGAAGACTTTCTTTGTCCTTCTGCTCAATATCCAAAATTCACCACACTGACATCGCTTTTTCATGAATATTGCTTTCCTTGGGGAAATTTCTTCACGAATCCCAGAGTCTATCGTCATCATATCATCATCAATACGGGTGTTTGCTTTGCGCCCTTCTCAACTCTCGTTCTAGAGATATCTAGCAAACAAACCACCACCGCGCCTGCTGCTACCTCAATTGAACATTGGAGGATCAGGATAACTTCAACATGCTTAGAATCATGTTTGTAACTGCATTGCTAGTATGCCTTGCTCTGCGGGCCTCTGCGCTTCCCACCATTTCCGTCAAGGGCGCCAAATTCTTCGCAGGCGGCAACCAATTCTTCCTCAAAGGTACGGAGACTACTCTATTCAGAAGTTTCTGGGGCCCCGATCTGACGATTCAGGCGTTGCGTACCAAGGAACCCCCAACGACCCCCTCGTCGATACCAAACAATGTCAACTCGACGCTGCGGCCATGCACTCCATCGGCACCAACTCGATTCGCGTCTACCATGTTGACCCTGCTGCCGACCACCAAGGCTGTATGTCTGTCTTCAGCGACGCTGAAATCTACGTCTGGCTCGATGTCGATACCTTTACCTCATACATCATCCAGACCGACCCAAAATGGACCCAGGAGCAATTCGCGGCCTATGCCAAGGTCGTAGATACTTTCCAGCAGTATGATAACTTGGGTGGCTTCTGGATCGGCAACGAGGTCATCAACAATCTTGGTGGATCTCCAGCTGCGCCGTACATCAAGGCCGCTGTTGCTGATATGAAGGCTTACTTGACTGCAAAGTCTTATCGACAAATCCCGATCGGATACTCTGCCGCTGATATTGCTGAGCTTCGTCCCATGCTGCAGAACTACCTTGCTTGTGGTGATGCCGACCAAGCTATCGACTTCTTCGGTCTAAACTCTTACGAATGGTGCGGCGACGCGACATATCAGACTTCCGGGTACGGCGGCCTTCAAACCATGACTCAAGGCTACAGCATCCCTATATTCTTCTCTGAGACTGGTTGTAACGTCGGTGGCGATCGCACTTTCGCTGACCAGAAGGCCATCTTCGGACCTGACATGATCGGTACTTGGTCCGGAAGTATTATCTACGAATGGGTCGAGGAGACCAACCATTACGGCGTTGTGACCTACCCCAACGGCGAGATTTACAGCGGCGCTCCAATTCCGATGCAACCCGACTTCGATAACCTCTCCAGAGTCTGGAAGAGCATCACTCCTACCGGTGTATCGGAGGGGAGCTACACACCCTCGCTCGTTGCGCCGGCTTGTCCTTCAGCAACTGGAGGATGGATTGTTGATGGCGATGTTCCACTTCCAAGACTCGGTGCCAGTATTATTAAGGCCGTTGCAGCTGGAGCCTTTGTACCAAGCTCAAAGCCGAGCTCAGGCACGAGCCCTCAGCCAACAGGTATGCCCGCAATTTCCTCATCGTCTACCAGTCTATCTACTAGGCCTTCTACTACTGCCTCCTTTGCTGCAACATCTTTCCCTCCAGATTTTTCCAAACCAGTCTCTACATTCAAGAATAGCATGCCGACATCTTCAACTGTAGTTAAAGTCACCTCCGCATACGTTGCTACGAGCACTTCCACCCGAAACACTCTCATCATATCCATCACATCCGACTCATCGATCACACCCGCCACAAAATCTCAATCACAAGGTATGCCTCAAACATCCCTTCACTGTCTACATCTTCTCCTGATTACATGTTATTTGTCTCGTCGACCCTCGGTTGGGGGTTGTGACTCATTTCTTTCGTTTCCTAGCCGCCCTCTATGAACGAGGCGGACCAGGTCCTTTCTGGGGTCAATCGTCCATGAAAACTCAAAGAAGTCTGCCTAAGCCGTCGACCGACGTCGAGCAGAGCGGTTTCGCTATAGGGGCCCAGTCCACGAAGGGAACCACAATAGTGTCTCGTCCGCCAATGACTACTCAAGCCCCAGATATAGGTTCACTTCAAGAGAAGGATGGCATCGATTCTCAAGATTTTCTCTTCGCGGCCCAGACCCCGACGGTATCTTCTGATACTACAGTCGCAGTCACAGTCCCCCGCTCCTCTTCCAGTACCACCCACTCTACCTACACGCATAAAGAGAAGACTGCCCTACCTCCCGTCTCACGGGACATGATCCCCGAAGGAGTTCCCACCCCCACAGATTCCTACATGATCACGGTCACAACGATGCCGCCAGATCTTACTATTCATACTGTTGTCGCGAGTTTCAATGTTTTAAATCGGGCCAACGAAACCTGGACTGTTTCTCCTTCAACGAGCTCGAATTTGAGTAGGAAATATACTAATGGAGGCAAATTAGAGAAAACTACTTCTACCAGTGGCACCGAAACCCAGGATGCCACAAGCACAGGCGCTGCTCCTGCAGCAACGATCTCCAAGTCAGCAGGTAGTGCCTTCCGCGTCGCCACCCCTTCCGGAGTCATCGCCTATCTCAACAACCTCGGCGGACACGGCGGATTCATCGGAATGCTCATCACCACCGTGTCGATTCTCTTCGGCGTGGTGGCTTTTTTATAGTCACCTGGTGCCTCGGCATGATGTGGCGCAGGGGCTGGAAAAGGGGCAGCGTGGGATGGGGATTCGATATTGATGGGGAGAACGAAAGTAGGGTTATTCATGCTCGTGATGATGGTGGTCAAGACGTTAAGACTAATGTATGTGTGAACGACAATCGGCAGGAGTGGATTGGAATGACGGAGGTGGATCGCGTTTTTCTGAAGGCGAGGTTGAGGAGGGAAGGTGTTGCTGGTAGGGGTGTGTTTGGGAGTCTTGGAAGGGCCTTTGGGAGTGTTTCTAGGAAGGGTACGAGGAGAGACAGGAGGGGAGACGCGGAGTGTTGATTGAGCTGGTTTGAGGCTCGTTGCATGGGTCTGCGTGCTCTGGCTGGATTGGCCAATAGTGATAGAGTATAGGATAGATGGCGGTCATATACGTAGATGACTGCTGACGGTTGTGTTGGTGTTTAATGAGTATAAACTTTCAGATTTCTGGCTTCTTCGCTTTTTTCTCATTGCTCTGGTGTTTGCCGATGTCTGGATGTAAAGTAGGAAAGGAAGGTGGATTAGATCTTCTAGGCCTTGGGGGGGGGGGTATATATATATATATATTTTAATAAAAGAGTTGTGGATTTGATTTTTGGGGATGGAGCGAGATGGGTTGGTGCCTTGCCCTGTATCCGGGCTGTGATTTTTTTCTTTTTCCTTTTTCCTTTTAGTAAATATTTTTGTTTTCTTGTACGTGCATGCAAGTAGGCGCTGCCTATCTTGGCCCATTAGGCAGCTAGGCAGCTGGGCGGCTAAGCGGCTAGGCGGCTGGGTCTCAGCGGCACGGATGGGGAGGGTATTGGTTTAAGCGAATCAGCATCTTGTAAGCTGATCACCAGCGTCTCCTTCGTGTTCAGTAAGGTAATGTTGATTGGTTTTTCGCATGTCGACTTTTATTTATATCTATGCAGTATGTAAGCCTGTCAGAGCTAGTACTATACTTACCAACCCCACTTAATCACTTACTTACATCTCCAACGAATTCTCACTTTAACCTACTTCGCTTGCATATTGTATTGTAAACAGCATCTTCCAAACTCTCTCTCTCCAGAATGCACTTCTCCACTTTCCTAGGCCTCTCCGTTGGAGCTTTCTTTTGCATTAGCAGTTCGATGTGTATAGCGCTAGAGATGGAGAAATCGAGGTACGTTGTCTAACATCTGAACTCTCTATCCCACCCCTTTCAAAGTCCAAAGAACTATCACTAACATAAAACCTTATATTCATCCACAGCCTGGATCTCACCAAGCGTGATACCAAAACCTGCAGTATCGGCCTCGGCCGCCAGTTCGCCTCCGTCTACTGGGACGTCACCATCTTCAACACAACGCAAGCCCTCCGCCTGGACGCCAACATCGTAGCGACGGCCCGCAACGCCCGCATGGACGTCGGCGAGTCCATCTCCCTGTCCTGGCCACCCGGCGCGCAGAGCTACACGCTCAAGGTTACGAACTTGGATAATGCGCCTGTGCTGGCGTATAATCTTCCGGATGTGAAGGGGGATGGGCGCGGGTTTGAGATGGGGGCTACGAAGGTTCGTTTGCAGTTTGAGGTGGTTGCGGCGGAAGCGGGAGAGGGGGTAGGGAGGAAGTGGACGACGGATGAGGGGGAGGGGGGGTGTGGGGCGTCGAGTGTGGTTTTTTCGGGGGGGAGGGAAGGGTGGACTTGTGAGTTTGCCTGTCCGTAGTGATTTTTGCTTTTCTTTGGTATCTCTGCCTTATATTTAAGATGGGGAGGGGTTTAGCTTGTGGATTGGAATCATAGGGGCTTTTGGATTTTGGGCTCTTTGGCTTGAAATACTTGCTTATCAGAAACAAAGAGCTGAAAGAAAACTTAGCTTGATGAAACGGATTTTTTATGCCCAGTTTAATGCTTTGGTGATCGCTACCAGTCAGTTCTTGAACGGGTCTGGAGTTAGACCTCGCTTATTTTCCTTCTAGTGTTCGTAGCAACTTGAAGGATACAAGTATGTTATTATTATGAAAGCTTACTCGTCCATCTCGTGGATAGGATCAGATGCATACGTCTGTATTGGAGACCGAGAGCGAGCCAGCTATATCAATTGCGCCAGTCATTTCGTTAAGGTGATTCAAAGAGACCTAGCTAGAGCCTCGAAGCGAAATTTGCGAGTGAAAACAAGCATAAGGGCTATTATTGAACAAAGCTTGCATTCTTTTACACTTCTGAAGTATTATGACCCATGGTAGATTCTCCTACTCCGAATGAATGATATAACTGTTTTCGTGCGGTGCATCAATCAGGCTTTGATTTGATCGCTTAGCACAGCCCGTCGTCATGCTATCTGCGTCGAGATATTTGTGCCAGATTAATCCAAACAATTCGTCGCGCAGCCCGGCCCGTCGACAATAATGACTGTACTTATAATGCTGGTCCCATGCTATATGTATCCCTTACGGGATATACCCGCCCGCTGGACTGGGTCGGATATGTGCAGCGAGATGAGATGGTGGCAACGGCAGACTCGACGATGACCCCCTAGCGAGTTCCTCCAACTCTGGTCTGCACTGCTCTGCAGGTAACTTATTTGTATGCGTATCGCTGGATTCGCATTTCTCTTGAGCATTGGTCGGATAAGTTGCGTGGTATACGGATAGGTAGGTGCCAATTGACGAATGTGCTGCAGGCGTGGGAGGGCTGGATCACGGGGAAAAAGAAAACCAGTTGGAGGATACCATGCAATGAATCTCTGATAACTTTTGATAAATAGAGATGTTAGCCTCGCGCAGTAGCGGGCGGCATGATTGTACAACTAAAAACGTCCTTAGCGGGATAGATACACAATAATGACAAAGTAAGTATCATGCGCAAAAGAGTTCACAAAAAGTAAACAACTCCTTCATTTTACCGAAAGCTTAATAAAGTAGCCGGTCTTAGCGGCTAAGCCAGCCCCTCCCATTTTTTAGATTGAAAATACGCGTCTGGTACGCGACCACGACTTTACATCGCGTAACAACTCTGCACATCCTCAATTGTGCACTGCATCAACCAATCCCGTTTATATACTCGTTATTATCTATCTACTATCACTCGATATTCGCAACGACATCCTCTCGACACTATTGCAAAATGCCTCCTCTAGCTAGGGCCGCAAGCACAGTTTTCGACCTGATGAGCACGGCCGAGAAGGAACGACTCATCCGGCAAGAAATGAATGCTGCAGAAGCCCGGTTGCAGAACATACGAGACGCCGGCCGGGCTTCAGCCAAGGCAATCTCAGACTTGGGCGTGCAGCGAGTGGCGGAGACCTGCGGGCTGAGGGAGGTGGAAGCCGACGCTATACGGGAGATGTATAAGGAAGAGGGCGCGGCCAGGGCGGATGCCGCGAGCGACGCGAGCCGCGCCAAGATGCAAGTCATCGTGACTGCGGGAAATCTGGAAGTCGAAGAGCTCAAAGAAATGTACGCTGCGGAGAAGGCCACGAGGGAAAAGGGCGTCGAGGGCGTCATGAAAGCCGAGTCGCACTGTATCGCGATTTTGATTACCGAAATTACGAAAGCGAGGATAGAGGCTATCGCACAGGAGAAAACGGCGAGCTTGAAGGAGATCAAGTCGACCCAGGTGCATGAGAGGATATGCATTGCGAAGAAGCATACCAGGGAGCGGGAAGCGAAGACACTGGCTATCAAGGAAGAGAAGGAGGCAAACCTGGCGGAGATCAAGGCAACCCGGGAGCACGAGAGGAAATGCATTGAGCAGATGTGGCTTGCGGAGTCCGAGGCCCGGGTGGCTGCTGTGAAGGCGGAGAGCACGCTGAAGATTGAACTGATGCGGGAAGAAATGAAGTTCAAAAGGGAGTTGATGAGGCAGGAGATCATAAGGCTTGCAAACGAGTCCGGGAGGGATGGCGAGAGTACCGCCAGGGCTGCGTTGGAGGTCTCGAGGGAATCCCTGGCGGCGGCTGGGAAGAGGAGGAGAGTCTCCTAATGGTCTGCTGTGGCTATGGCACAGTTGGTCGGACGCGCGAGAGAGAATGCATGGTTTTCATGTGATTCGCCACATACCCGGGGACTCAAGTCGCCACGATTTTCAACGGAGCCAACATGCTCCAATGACAGGGGGAGCCAGAGAGAGGAAGAAAACCTTGTGATATATTACTTCCCGAAGCTACATTTGTAATCCAGACTATTGGTTTGCTAATCCACACAACCAATGTAATGAAAGAAACCTTTTAAGCACGCCATGGACTATGCTAGTGGCTTAGGAACCACTTATTCTTTTGGATCTACATTTCACCAAAATTGAATCGAGCATCGTTCATTTCAACTGTGAAATATGGGACGAAATATTGATTCATATCCATGCGAAACTGGAGGACTAATCTTACAATCTACAACAATAATAACGCCAAATCCGTATTACCACGAACTGCGAGCATCACAGCAATCCGATTGTGGATATATGAATATGTACCTTTATCGGAATACGCCATACCAAAAGTAGGCAGGGCTAGCACCTCTGTTCCCGACCCGCAAACCTCCTGCCAGCACAGCGTCATTCAGGCCATCTATTCTGTAAGAATGCTAGCGCTCGCTCGAGACGGCCTGCTCTGAGTGTTCAAAGATAGCAACGATATATTTTCCTATCAAATTATAATTGACGATGGTCAATGATTTCTCAGTCTGAAAACATTTTTACTTTATCTCAAGCTTTCTATACCTAATCGTTTATGTGAATGCTTAAAGTGCTTGAAGTGCTTTCATCGTTTCTATAACATTATGATTCTCGGCTATTTTACAACGTTACGATGTTTACTTCTACCAAAAAAAAGAAAAAAGAAAAGAGGCGTGCTTTCTTCAATATCTATCTCTGCAGAGCTGTAATAATCTCGATTGAAACCAATGTGATGCTTTCTCTTAATGCTTCTTTGGTCCTCGGCTATAGTTTTAGTCAGTTCTGTGAGTACAAGTAGCAAGCCCGTTCTCCTTCTTCGAAACTCCTCACCAACCTTGCATTGCTAGCCAGCGGCCATGACGTCCTCCATCCCATATCCTAATCTGTTGCTTCATCGCAACTCAGTCGTCCATTATTATATGCCCTCATGTTCTCCGTTCTTTTTACGAGCTACCGGTTCTCATACTTTTCAAACACCAAAGGTCATCTCCTAACTACTCCCATATCTACCATTGCGCCACTGCTTTAATACCCTTTTATCAAAACATTTCAAGCCACCTTAGGTGATTATAATTGCTTAAAATCGTCGGATAATCAAAAAGGCAAAAGGCTCATATCGAAACTATTCAAAAAGTCGCTGATATAGTAATGAGTTGCAAACAGATTTCCATTTCTCATCGTCCGTAACGACCGAATACAATCAAAGTCCAAGTCCCAGAGCGCAGCGGCCATTTTCCCTCTGCGTCTTCCAAGCCTCAGACCATCCAAATCTCTCTGTGTCTTCAAACGCTAATTTCAAAATCAATATGGGCAATTGGAAAAAGAAATTGAATATGAACTCACACCAGAAACATCGGCTTGTGCAAGTCTAGAGGCAGAGTCAGCAAGAGCTCCTAAGCAGCTTTCAATACAACATACCGGAAAACTCCTCAAAAGGTGGCAGCTCCACATTTCTTCCCACTAGGCAAAGTGCCTTCGCATACAAAGACGGGACTGACGTTCTGGTAGGCACATTCGGGAGTTTTGGCAGTTGCCCTTCCCATCCTTTCGCATATTGGCAAGATCGATGTAAACAGAATCGCTAGTTCAGATCTGCATGGAAGAACATAAAGGGATCATCTAGCTGAGGCGACGGCACCGATGATATTGACTCCAAGTATGCCTTGAAGTCTGGGATCGAAAAAGGACCAAGCGTATCACAACGCCACAAGGGCTTAGAAGCGGGATGGCTTCTCGTGTGCCAATTGTCGAGGTTTCCGAACCCATCACAAGACTCGTATCTAGACCTCGTAATCCTTGCCAAGGTCGCAACGTGAGAAGCAACCTCCTCAGCGATGGATGCACGTTGCACAGTGGTCAGATCCGGCCGCGCCGTCTGGAGCGTTGTTCCCTCAACCCGCCGCATCACGAAGATCGATCGGCTCGCAGCTTCGTCCTCGTAGAAGAAGATCGATTCTGGCAGCGGATGCTGGAGGCATGCTCGCGCACAAAGGCAGTGGTAGACGCTTCGGATTGCTGTCCGGGGAACCACGATTTGACTTTGATCACGGCTTCGTTTCCGATGAACCAGACGCCGGTGCTGCGTCCGGCATCGTATACTCTGCCCGTCGTCGAGTCGCCCTGGCCGCTTGCGGGAACTGGCGGCGAGGTGTCAGCCCGCTGGGTCAAGCAGAATATCTGTGCTCCGTCTGTCCACGATGCGAGTACTGGGTGTGCAGGCGGAGTCTCAATTTGAGGAAGGGCGTAGCAGAGAATCGAGGTGCTGATTGTCCAAATGCTTGGAGTGATCTGCTTGATCGATTCACGGATGGGTGGTTCGAGTTCACTTTTTGTGCAGATTGTCAGCATCATTTCTATCAATACAGTTGTGGACATACCCGGAATTCATCGTCTTAGAAGATTGTAGGTGAGGATGAGATCAGTAACGAGAGATATCTGTTTGACTGATACACCGCTCTCCATAAGGCAAGGCATACCGTTGGGGGGTGTAGCGATTGGTTGATGAGTAAACCGGTTTTCAGTATCCCATGATTAGTTTACTGAATCAATGAAAGAGCTCGACAGTATATACAAACCTGTGACTATTGAACATATACCACGTGCGAAGGCGCTAATGATCGGTAGCGTTGGACAAATTAAAGACCTGTATTATGTAACAAAACAACCAGCGTCTGGCATCACCATCAGAGCTGGCCCTGCCGGCTCTGGTGGTGTAGCTGGGTCACACCTGCTTGATTTGCTAATCTGATTAAAATCCTTTCCTTCGGGTTAAAGGGTTTTCAAGGCGCATATCTTCCCCGGGACGCCGGGGAGGATGTGTGACCGGAGTTTTGCTATTTTTTGTGACTGAAATACATATACACTCCTCGTATATATATTTACTTCTGCACTGCGTAAATCGGTAATTTGAAAGAAGGTCAGAGGAGCGCTGAAATGACACCCTAACTCCCTTTAAGGTTATGACGAGTCAACTAGGTCTAGTATATATATAGGCTGCCATATAGCTAGCTAGCTAGCTGGGTACTTCTCCATCTTTTGCGTTCTAATAGATAGATGGATGAGTTTACATATATATATATATATATATATATATACACATATATATCACGATGAAGGTTTCAATGATGAATATCATAACTATATTTATAATTCATTCATACCTATCCAAAGCGAACTGAAACGAACTGAAGTGAAAAGGAGAAGGGTACCATCTTTCATCTCTCATTCTCCTATTCTCTCATCTCTCAGAAGTAAAAGAACCGAAAGAAAGAAAAAAATCTTGTTAAGTTGCATTTTCATTCTCATTTGCATCTCTCTTCCCACCTCTTCTTACCTCTTCTTCCTCTTCTTCTTCTTCCCTCCTTTTCTTCTCCTTCGCTCCCCCTCTATGCAAGCAAGCAAGCAAGCACCCCTCCTCTCCTCCTCCTGGGACTGGAATCACTCACCTCACTCACCTCACTCACCCTCCTTAGTTGAGCACCACATTCTTCCCAAACCTAAACGCCGGGCGGAAGGCCTTCGCGCTGGGATCCAGCTCCCTGGGCTCGTCGTCCCTGTTGCACATGCACACGCCGCAGGCGGCGAGGCCGCAGGGGGGCAGCTCGGGGGCAGAGACCTGCTGTGCTTGGCGGCAGTTGCCGATGATGCATTTGACGGATACGCTGGCGGCGGTGCGGCCGCAGCGGAAGTAGGTGGTGACCTGTTGGCACATGGTTGGAGGGTAGGGGGGACGGGGGGGTGAAGGGGGGAATGGGATGGGGATGGGGATTGGGGTTGGAGTGAGTAAGTAATGGTGTATATGGTAGTAGTAGGTAAATGGTAATAGTAATGGTAATGGTAATGGTAAGTAGTTCGAAGAGCGTGTTTGGAATAATGATCTGAAAGTACTCGTCAGGCCTTGAAGCGGTATTTATACAGCGATTCCCCATCCTGTTTTTTTTTTTCTCCCCTCTGCATCGCGGATAATGGATGGGGCTTGCTAATCCATCCATGTTGACTCTCTCTCTATCTACATTCGTAGAAAAACTCTTTGTTCAAAGCACGGTTTTCTTTGTTTGTTGCTTTGATTAAGTGAAACTGACTTTTTTGTCTTGTTGTGTGTATGCGGCTGCTGCTGTTGGGCTTGTTCAGATCAGATTGAGCAATAGACCTTGTAGGATTCGATTTTGTTGTTAGGTAAAGAGGGAGGGCTGGCTTTGTGAACGTGGTGTTCGTGCGCGTGGTTCTATTGTTGATATGTTAGTTTCTTTCTCTTTCTCTCTCTCCCTCTCCATTGTCGCTCACATACGACGAATGGAAAACAATCGCTCTTGTGGATCCCTGATCCCTCTTTGATGTTGACAAGCGAACCTTTCTTCCTTTGTTTTTCCTTCTTGTTCCAATCTAACGTGCTTGTAGATCTCGAATAGGCAGTAGATGGATTTGTTCTTGACCAGATCAAACAGACCCCTGGGAGAGGAGCTGGGAGTATCAACTAACGGCTAGCAGCAACCAAATCTCATGTCTCCTAGCAGAGACAGGGAGAGAGCTTGAGGACGGACCAGCTATTCCACCCCCAAACTACCACTTGAATACTTACTTTGATATCTACTTTGATACTTAGGTCCTTATCACCAATCTATCTCTCAAGCCACGCGCAGTAAACGAAAAAAAAAAGGCGATCAAAAACAAGTATAGAGCTAACACCAAGTGCTTGCTTCCTACCCGCACACCAACCGATTCGACGCCAGCAATGATCTTGAGCTAGAAATAGACATAACACATGAGATCCCAAAAGGAGCGTGGATGGCACGACATGGCCTCTGGCTATACTGTGCTTTTCTCGCTACCTACCTACCTAGGTACCTACCTAAACAAAAAAGCTGCGGCACACACATATATCCCCCACACCCCATCCTCCCTCTTCCCCTCCATCTATATCCAAATCTATATCCACACACACCCACCCACCTCATAACCTTGAGTACTTACTTGCATGCATGCATGCATGCACTCACCGCGCTACGGTTGAATTAAGCGAGTCTAGCTAGATTTGGATTCGGATTGGATTTGGATTGACTGTGACACTGCATAGTAGCTCCCATGGCATTTGCATTTGCATTTGCATTTGCATGGCATTTGCATAAGACTCTCTGACAGGACGCCCCTTCCTTCGGCTATGGAAACATGTGTTGGTTAGTTAGTTGGTTAGTTCCGCCTTTCGAAAAGTTCGGAAAGGGGGGAGAAAGGATAACCCTCAAAAGGGCAAGCACATGGCAGAAGTATAGGTAGATCAGTGGTGTATTCAAGACGAAGTAATCACGGATATATATATATATATGTGTGTGTGTGTGTGTGTGTATATGTGAACAGCGACAAGATGCTTTTAAGTCATCAAAGCAGCATCTAGACAGATTATTTATATGCCAAAAAAAAAAAAACAGAGAACCAAGAATGAAGAAGAAAAAAAGGCACCCATCTCGCCCTCGCCCTCTACTTGTGCGAAAGCTTCCGCTCGTACCACCGAGCGGGCGTGTATACGAGTAACGTGATGGCCGCACTCATGTAGATGCCCACGTCCCCTCCGAACGGACCGAACTTCCGCGCCACGGGGCCCACGTACCAGGTCTGCGCCATGCCGGGGACGCCGCCGCAGAGGTACCCCGCCAGCAGGGCCACGACGGCGGCGGCGCCCCAGGGGAGCCGTTTGGGGAGGTCCCAGGCGTTGAGGTTGTAGCCTTCGGTCCGGCGGAAGAAGCGGTCTTCCACGAGGAGGATGATGGTGAAGGAGACGGTCCAGTAGCCGAGCAGCGAGACGAAGTTGGTGACGATGGTGGAGAGGTGCTCGCGGCCGGCGATCGCGAGGACCGTGATCACCAGGGCGTTGAGGAAGGACCAGATGAAGCGGGGGACGGCGTGGAAGTGGTGGCCGAGGAGTTGGAGCGAGAGGCCGGAGGAGTAGTTGACGGCGATGTTGTTTCCGAGCACCGAGAAGACGAGGAGGACGAGGGAGAACTTGGCGAAGCCCGTGGGGTGGTAGGACTCGCGGAGCAGGCCGCCGAAGCCGTGCGCCTCGTAGGCTTCGTACAGCCGAGGCTGGGCGGTTCTGTTGGTCAACGCCGCGTTGCCGAGACAGGCACCGATGATGGTCACGAATGTGGTGGGGATCGATATGCCGAAATAAGTCAGGGTGAAGATCTTCCACGTCTTGGTATCGGCTGGATAGTTGCAATAGTAGTCTGCCGCGATGGAACACCATCCCGAGGAGGAGGAGAAGCAGATGGCCATCATGGACAACCAAGAGCCCGTGTTCCCGAGGCCTCCCTCCAAGGCGGGGAGTGAGGCGTCGACTTGGTCGCCTACCTCCCCGATGAGGACGCAGAGCAGGATGAATGTCACAATCCATGCGTACTTTTCGAACGTGTGGATTATCGCGAAGCCAAAGATCGACACTACGTAGGAGAGGACGCCAATAATAACACAGCCGACGATGAGCGACATGGTGTAATTGGAAACGGCGGCGAGGATCTGACCGACGACGACCGTGTTGACCACGGCGAAGCCACCTCCAATGATAACATTGAGGACGGAGCAGAGTTTGGCGCCGTAAAAACCAAAGGAGTATCGAGAGGTCGCCATCGCTCGAAGACCGAGCTGTCGATCTTTAATACTCGATCCATGTCGGCATACAAGGAGAAGGGAAGCGTACCTTTGGGCCTAGAGTTCCACAGAATGAAGTGCAGAGGGCTCCCAAGAAAGTTCCTACCACAATGGCGGAGATGGATTGGTTTAGAGACAGACCAAACTCGGGCCCGAGAATCCCGATAGGCACGCTACCAATGTGGCAAGTCATCGACCACCAGAGGAAGAAGATGTTGATCAGAGGCGGAGGCCTTTTGTCCTCTTCACGGATGCGATCGATTCCCTGCGTCTCTATACCCATCTTCTCGTCGAGCCATTCCTCACCACGGCGCAAAGTCCGGAAGAGGCCCTGGTTCTCTCGAATCTTGCGAGCTTTGATCTCGTCGGTACTCTTAGTTCCAGCATCGTGAGCGTCGGGGAAGGTCGATCCGTCTTTGAACTCCTTGTCGGAGCTCCCAGAGCCAGACTCTACATCGTGGGTATCGTGGACTTTGTGGGTATGCTTGACGTCGTGAGCACAATCCAAGTCGGCTTGAGGGCCGTGAACCAAGTCCGACATCTTGGATTGGTTGATCTCCCTCGGGGACGATGTGAATGAATGAATGGAAGATGGAGGGAGGCCCGCAAAAACGACCAGATGCCGCGTGATAGGAAAGGGGAGATGGGAAGTACAGACAGACCCTTACCTATGTACTCAGTCTATGTACTCACTTCCATTGCTGCTTCTAGCTGCTAGCTGCACGCTTACTATGCCTTGACATATTCTAGAACCGGAGATTTTTTTTACGAAAAAAGATGAGCCGGGTTAGGGTTGGCGTCGTGCGACTAGGTACGTAGTAGATAACGACGATATACCACGGTACAGGCCTACAGTAAGTATTACCCCTCGAGGGTGCCTCAAAAGTTTGGTTTCCACTTTAAACCCCCTGGTTACCCTACCCCCGAGGGGTAATACTTACGCCTGTACCGTGGTACTGTACGGAGGAGGAATACCCCCACATGAATACATGTCGAAAGTATAGTTTTGCAAGGGATCTTACCAGGTCTTAAACCGATCAACTTACGTAGTACGTAGTATAAGGATTCATTCAGCCTTGAAAAGTATCTTTGAGCCAGTATTTAGTCTGTGCAATGGAGTTGATAGAGTTTTAAGCCATTCAGAACTCACCGCTCTACGATTTATGGAGCTAAACTGGGTCCGACATGTACTATATTTGTGAGGGGACAGTAGGAGAAGATACTACTAGTACGTACGTAACAAGCCAATCGATTCGATTCTAACCTGCTCCAGTTAGGCTCGGAGAGGGAGGTCGAGAAGGTGGCCTGGCGACGTAACCTGCCCGCCGCGCGCTCGCTATGAGAGGTCGGATCGGAAAGGTGCTGCTTATCAGACAGATACCGGTAGACAATAAAGCATCGTGAAGAAGCTTTCCTTGGAAAAGCGGCGCCAATTTCAACACTTGAAGCTTAACTAGTACTGTACAGTAAGCAGCAACCAGGAACCAGGTACTACCTCCTGTATCAACCGCTAAACAGTAGTATCGACCACCTCTCAAGTTGCGAGGAAAAAGAAGAAAAAGACCAAAAGAAAAGACAGAGAGAAAAGACAGAAAGAAAAAGACAAAAGGAAAAAGACAGAAAGAAAAAGACAAAAGAAAAAAGAGCAAAGAGGAAGCCATACCATCATCGCCAATTGCACACCGACCGAGAATACAATGCAGCGCCAAAGAGCCAGGGCCCGGAACCGCATGGGGTCCGTGGCTGCACGACGGATCTGACCTATCGACTTCGGAGCGACGTGAGACCAAACGCACAGGATGACCACCCCAAAGAAACGTTCTCGGTACATCCTAAAAAAAAAAATAAAAAAAAAAAAAAGAAACGTTTGTGGCGACACGCTACACTACTGTACTCTGCAGAGATTTGACAGGCAGGGGGTTTATCGGTGCCGAGGTGATACTGTACTGTACTGTACGGACAACCATACAGTAGGTACTAGTACTGTAGATGATACAGTACCGGTAGTGGGGGATCCCCGGGCCCATCACGTAGCCGTAGCCGTAGCCTGTGTCCAACGAGAAGTCAACCAAATCTGACTTGAAAAGCGGGGCTGGCTGGCTAGCGTGTTTCGGAATTTGCATTTGCTGCAGTGCGTAAGATAAGTACCGATACTGTACTGTATCGTGAACGGTACACTAAGTAAGATACGCGAAGTAAATACTACTTACTGTACAGTAGTGAAAGCGGACATGTACCTACACCAGTTGAGAGAGAGCTTCGGAGCACACTCTGCCGAGAATCAGCTAAGTCGCATTGGCATCGTGATAGACGTCTATCTCTCGGCTATCTGTCGATGCGGATGTGAAAAAAACTAGATCAGAACAGATCAGATCAACAGGATGTTTAACTATTTAACTACCTTACCTACCTACCTACACTCTGCACGTTCCACCCGTCGCTTAAACCACGTGAGCGAGCGCCCAACAAGCGGTCCCGGTCTGGTCTCATTCTCCGTCTCCGTCTCCGTCTCGCCCTGGGCTCTGAGCAGCTTGGAATACGGTACGGTACCTAAGGTACGGTAGCCTAGACAGACACAGCTGCCACCCAACCACCGAATGATAAGTACCTTAAAGACGAACCACCGAGCCATCTAAGCCTCTGATCCATCCACACTCTTCTTCTCCTCTCTCCATCACTCCAACCCCCCACGCCTCTACCGGTATCTACCGGTATACTCCTCTCCTCCCCACCCCCCCTCCGCCCCACAGAAGACAGCCTCCGAGACCCTAGACAACACTTCCACCTCTCACCGTCACCATCACCATCACCATCACAGAAATACCGGTATACAGAGACAAATCTAACCCACCGGTACCGACCTGCCCCTTCCAAAGAAGAGAAAGAAAAGCACGCGTATCCCTGCGTCGCGACAAGTACGTCCTAGTTAGCGGGTATTGCCTTAGCTTGCTTGATTCTGTTGTGGGATTAGTCGCAGTGCTGCACGCAGACTTGATGCGATGCGATGCGATGCGATGCGATGGAGATGGAGATAGGTACTAGCTAGCTAGCCTGTAGGCAGTGCCACGCGGATAGGAAGCAAAGCAGAGCAGAGCAGAGCAGAGCAAGCGAAAGAATGAAAGAACGGATGACTGAAACCTGGAAGTGTACAAGCATCGCATTGCATACCTATACGATTACTAGAGAACCACTACACCCCGTAGTCTACAACACAGACCGGGAGGGAGTCCCTTAACCGGCCCCGGAAAGTCCTTCACTTCCACGATAGCCAGTCACCCCGCTCGCTGGGTACACCGTGCAAAGATGTCTCCGATTCTACAATGGCTTCGCAGCTCCAACAGAGATACCAGGCTGGAAAAAGGCACCGCGGGTAAACAGGCGGCAGCGCACTGACTAATTATCCCATCCGCGGATCCAGTCCTCCATCCGGCGAGGTATCTGATGATCGGCTGCAACCTTATCTATGTGGTCGGCGTCGTCGTCGTTGCAAGGATCGATTTAATCCTCAACTCGTAGTCACCCTCCTGTTCAGCCTCGCCAAAGAAACTGTCGTCCGTGTCCCTCGGTCAGCATTGGGTTTCCGGAACACACACACACACACACCAGTCTCGCATCTTTAGAAAAGAAAGTACACGATCGAAAAGAGATTCAAGCAAACATGCTCTCTCTCACACACACACACGCTCTCCGCACACTCAGCACACTTACCTGCGGATCATGATGCTCACCCTCCGAATATTCGCCAGGTTCAAAGGCTCCGTATCATTCAGGACCCTCCCGCGAAAAGTCGGCACCAGATCCCGGAGCCGGACCGACGTCTCCGCGTAGCCGCTACCGCTACCACCACCCGTCTCCGCCGCAGCGCTCGTCGCCGGGACCTGAAAGTTCCACTCCCAGTTGACGAAGCTCGCCTCGTCCGAGGCCACCACGTCGTCCCGGAGGGTGAGGGTGTACGTCTTGCCGTCCGAGTAGGGGACCTCGATGGCCAGGCCCGCGTAGGCGGACAGGTCCACACCGGGCCAGTCGTCCACCGTGCGCTGCGAGGCGAAGCCCGCTCCGCCGAGGGCCGTGCTGTTGAGCGTGCCCGAGAACTGGATGATGGGCTCGTCGAAGGGGTTCGCGGCGCTGCTGCCCGGAGCGAGGACGGACAGCGTGGAGGTGCTGACGCCGCCGGGTCGGACGCGGTCGTCCGAGGCGACCCAGCTGTTGGCGTTCCACGGCTGCAAGAACGCGAGGGTTGCGCCCGCGGCGGCGCGGGTGGTGAGGAGGAGGACGGCGAGGGTGGTGAGCATGTTTCTCGAACTTTTCTCGTGCCTTGACGCGTGGGATGTCCACCGTGGCGGAAGGAATACCTAGAGGGCCTGGACAGCGAAGGGGAGGTGGACGTGAACTCTGGAGGAGAAGGATGTGCCAATGCTGAGTCAAAAGAACTCAATTCCGGCAGGTCCGAATTGTCGAAGCTTGTCGCCAAGCAGATCTTCGCCAAGCAGATCTTCGCCAAGAGCCCGCTCGCTGTCTTGCCACAATCCTTCTAGGTATTTGTTTCTCGGCCAACCAAGCAGTCATGATCACCTGAATCTTAATCCGCTGCCTGGATCCAAGACGGAAGTAGTGCGCCGCTGCCTGGTGCCTGGAAGGATGAGGATGGAGAATTCATATTTGATTCCCCGGGCAGGCAGATGTACATCTATAGATATCTCGATAATCTCGATAATCTTGATAATCTCAGTATAACCGTCGGCACGCTTGAATGGGCCTCCTTCTTTCTTTACAATATTCAAAGGATGTAAGGAGGCCTAAGCGAGCCGACAATTAAATGCATCTGCTCTCCTCCTCCCCCGTCATCGAGCGAGAGAGAAAAAAATACCCAGATATCATTTATCTTGGGCGTTGTCTGCCCTACGCGTTTTGCAGTGTTGTAGTCTGATCCCGAAGTTGTTATCATCAACAAGTCGCCGTCGCCGCTAATGCTTCTTCTCCTGCCCTCTCTCCTCGCTCTCCTCCCCCTCGCAGGCGTCGCATCACCCTTGTCGTCCGTCCGCGCCAACAAACGCGGCACGAATCTATCGTCCGAAACGCAGAACGGCCTACTCGACGGCTCGCCCTGCGCCCCCATCACGCTCATCTGGGCTCGAGGCACCAACGAGATCGGCAACGTCGGCCTGCGCACCGGCCCGTCCTTCTTCAAGGCCGTCGCGGACATCATCGGCCCGAAGAACCTGGCCGTGCATGGCGTCACGTACCCGGCGGGGAAGCTAGGCTTCTTGTCCGGGGGAAGTGCAGAGGGGAGCAGGAACATGGCGGAGCTGGCGGAGCTGGCGGCGAAGCAATGTCCCGAGACGAAGATTGTGTTGAGTGGGTACAGGTGCGTTTGTGTTTGCGTTTGGTTGTTCGGGTGCATGCAAGTGGTCCGGTCGAAGTCCCTTGAATGTGTGCTATATATATAGCGGGAATCAAAATCGGGCTAATGTCAAGATTCGCAGTCAAGGAGCGCAGTTGGTGCATCGCGCAGCCAAGCTATTGAGTGCCGCGACGGCCACGCGCATCTCTTCAGGTAAGTGGAAACTTTTTTTCCAACCTTTGACAAGAAAACGAAAAACTGTGCCCCTTTCCATCCTATCCATCCAGTCTTTGTTGGCAAAAGGCAGGTGGGTAACTCAAAGTCGAGAGACATAGTGGTCGTATTTGGGGATCCCTACCACCCAGCTGCCATCCCGGGCATCCCAGACTGGAAAGTCGCTACCTTCTGTCGTAAAGGGGACAATATATGCGAGGGAGGCATGCGAATCGGTCAAGCTCACCGCGAGGTAGGTCTTCTCGCCAGCCAGCTTTTGGATTGACTGACTGATGATACTGAAATGAAACTGGACGAACGGTAGTGGTTGAGAGGTTTTGTGCTGACTGACTTGCGCGTAGTACCCACAGGATGCTCCGGCGGCGGCAGAGTTTGTGGTTAAGCAGTCGGGACTTTGACTTGAGAACGGAGGAGGATACCGATAGAGCTCTACCCTACCCAACAACGACTTGTAATACCAGGCCCGGTGGATCCAACAGAGCCCTTTTTTTTTTTCTGCAGCGATGCAAAACCAGTACCTAATAAAACTTTCAACTTATCAACATTTAAGAAAGCCCTAGAGTGATTTCTTATCGTTACCCCCAGCGCTTCGGATACATAGATCCCAGCTCAAGCCGTGTCTTCATCTTCACACCAGCCTTTACATCCTGTGATCAAAGACTACTTCAATGCTAGAGCAGATGCAGCAGGCTTTTACGCTCTCGAAGGTTGGAAAGCACTGCCGGCTTCTGTTTCAACCTCGGGATGTCGACGCCGAAGAGAACGGTGGTCCCAGATGAGAACGCGAACGAGAAACTAGCAACGCATTAGTTAAGACATAGCGAAAAGTAGGAGCTGAGAACAAAAAACTGTGGTATCATTGCAAACCCTATTACCTCCAGATCACTAGACCTTAACCCCGATAATATCCATCTCTCCAATCTTCGTAACCACGCCATCCTCCCCACTCAGATTTTTCTCGATCCTCACTAGCAGACTCCTCACTCCCGCTCCCCCGCCAAACTTACTCCCCTTCAACTTCAGCTCTACCTTCCCCTCCACATACTCATCCGAGAAAAGATTGAAAGCCTGCGTATTCTCCGCCTTCGCCATACTCCCCTCCATATCCAAATCATTCATCTCGGTACCGTCTTCCAACTTCCGTACCACAACCGCCGCATTACTACCGACCGTGATCCGGGACGGCGCCGAAGAGAGAGACTTCGCATCAATCTTCAGCGTGATACTCGACGGTATCACCGCCGTCGTAAAGGGGATATGTGCCAGGATCCTCGGCCCCCCCACCGAGCTCAACGCGTAGCCTGCCGGTGGCGGCGCAGCGATATTCCGCACCGAGCTCAGCAGCGTCGCTCCCAACAGGCGTCCCCTCTCACCATCCACACTCTCTCTGAGGCTCCCGGGTCCCTTCTTCGTCTCCACCGAGGAAGCACTTCCCCCTGACTTGTTCGCAGTCGGGACGGGACCCTCCTTCGCCACAGCCCCGGCGTAGTATCCAATCTTCGTGGTGAGCTGCTGCACGTCGGCGCCCTTCACCTCGTCGACCTTCTTGCCCTGCCGGAAGAACTGGAAGGTCGGCATCGCGGAGATGCCGCAGAGCTGCGCTACATCTTTCGCCTTGTCGACGTCGACTTGGGCGAATATGACGTTCGCTGACGTGGAATGCTGGGTGGAAAGCCTCGAGAATACGGGGGATATTTGCTTGCAGGGACCACACCAGGTGGCATAGAAGTCTATAATGAGAAGGGGAGTTGGTTTGAGAGCGTTAAATTGGGAGAGGGATTTAATCTCGATCATCGTGAGGGTGTTGAAGGTTAAGCTGGGCCGAGCTGGGCTGGGCTGGTTGGCTTGGTATCTGTGTTAGACGGCTCTGGTCTGTGGTGTGGTTGACAATTACATTTACGTTGAAGGATGATTATGGAGGGGCAGCTGGAAGGTTAAGCCGCGGGGTTGCAACTCGCTTGCTTGGTCGGTTATGTAAGCGAGTTATGAGGAAACAAAACAGAAACAAAGCGGCTGGAATTGGACTAGAGACATCATACCTATGTTACCTACGAATGTGGTACTGGCTCATCACTCTTGCTGCTGCATCTGATATACGTGGAACAGAAACCGCTGCAGCACTCTAAAAGGTGGATGGGAAGTCTTTTGGCAAAGCCACCTATGATACAAGTACATCCCATGATCTCCCCAACTGCAGCTGCATTAAATTGGAGATGCCCAGAGCCTGCAACATGGTATCCCCTACCCTCATCTTTCATCTTCTCTGTCTATGTACCCAGCCACTCGTCTTTTCGTTCGTCTCATTATAAATTTCCGCGCCAACCTAACCCTCAGTACCCGAGCTTCTGAAAGCAGCACACAGAGCAGCATAGTGATGCGTCAAATCCAACACATTTTGGGGCAAGCTCGTCGCCTGGATGATACTCCTAACCTTAACCGCACCCTCATCCTCAATCAAAGTGCGGATTGTGTACAGCAAGTCAGGACTGAACTCGGAATACCATCTGTACTGCCACGTAACGAGGCGGATAACAGAAGCGATCGTCTCTCTCGTGTTCTTCTCCTTCTCGAAGTCGCCAAGGATACCACTGAGTGCCTTGGGCGAGAAACGGATGGAGAGACATGCTCCGTACGCTTCAACAGCTTCAGCTTGGTGGTGCAGACGGTCGGCGAGGGCTCCGAGAATCTCCCATTCTTCTGCAGATTTTTTGTACTGCATCTGTTGGGCACGATATTGAGCCATTTCGGTGCGCCAGATAGTATAGATACGGAGGTCTTCGTAGAGGACCATGAACAGGCTGTCTAACCAACGTTCACAGAGACGCTTGTTGTTGAAACGTGAGAGTTGCTCCTCTGTAGCCTCAGCCTGATTCAAGTCAGCAGACGTCAGGCGCTGGGAATGGTATACACACATCCTCGATACCACCCTTAGCTTCCTCCGGAGTAACGGTATGCGAGGGCTTCTCGACTGTCCTATCTGCGGCTGGACCAAGCACGCCGTTCTCTGCTACCAAGGTTGGTGCAGTGGACTCTCCGTTCACACTCTTCTCATCATCGCTTTGATCATCGCCGTTGATGGGAGGACCTGGACTTCCTCTCAGTACGTCGGTGCTAGCATTTCGTTGGGTAAGTTCACCTTGGGTTGGTTGCTTTTCACTGCGATATTCTTCCTCCATCACGAACACGTTACTCCGGATCCTCAACAGCTGGTCCCACCCAATTTTTGCCGTCATTTCGGTCAAGATGCTGTAGGCCTGCTTGAACGTTCCTCTGTATTGAGAAGCACGTAAGCTTAACAAACTGGGGTGGACTGACTCTTGGTACTTGGATTCTGGCTCGCTGTCTATCTCATCTAACCGAGTTTCGGGGAGAGTTGGAAGGTGGATTTCCTTGGGTTCTGGCATGACCGGGGCGTCCTTATCCTGGTATGTGAACATCGGGCATGAGTTGAGGGTTGTCAAGGCATTCTCCCAGTCCTCCATAGCAACATATACTTCTGCCAGTCTGGCCCATGTACCGAACTCGCTTGGTGCTGCAACAGTGCTTCTGTCTGCGCAGCCGAGAGCCATCCGTAATCGGTCTTGCTTCAAATCTGGCGCATTGGGGTTCAGTGCCTTGCCCAACAAAAACTCTGCTTGCGTATCGAGCATCACGTAGTCCATTGGCGATTGCTTGACGGAATCGTGAAGAACCCGCACTGCCTGTACCTCCTCGTTGCCCATGAGCAGGACTTTTGCCAACAGAGACGACACCTCCACATTGCGCGTTCGCAGCTTCTCGAAGAGGTTTATCCCAGACGCATATCTACCGGTGGTATGGAAGTATTTCAGGAGACCGGACGTCAGGTGGTTAGAGACATTGTTCGGTACCTGGACAACGGAATCTGACCCGAGTTGCCAGCCTTCAGAAGTCAGCATTGTTCAGCAACTTTATTGCTTTCAAATATACCTCTGAAAAACAGGTGCTCCGCCGCTTGTAGAAATCGGTGTTCAGTCTCGGTATTAGTGACTGGATTGAACCTCCGTACTCCCATGATTTTCCTGATCGTCTCTCCACTTCCGTCATCCGCGTATGAGTATGCTCTCAGCACACTGCAGAGGTATGTCTCGAGCCATAACTCATCCGAGGCCACCCTCTTCTCTCCTCTTTCGTCTATACAATAGCTGTCAACTGTTCCGGGTATCGTAACGTGGACGCGCATATCGAGTCTCGAGAACGCATTGTAGCAGCTGATATTGTTTAGCAGAGGTTCTGAGGTTTATTGGAAGCCTTATACCAGTAGATCCCTTCCACAATCTTTGTGCTCGATTGGTGACTCTCTCTGTATGTGAGTGTGTTGATGTATGCGGCCAGACTTGCTGAAGACGATGCATCGACACCCGTAACATGATGGTAGACTCCAGTCTGCCAGTCAATCAGTACATCTCTTGCCCTTCGGGTATCGTGCTTCGACATACCTGTTTTCCTGGATTCCGTGGAGCTTGCTTGATCAATTGCACCAAATCAGGTGGACCCAATTCCCTTAGGGCAGCCAGTACTTCGGTTCGCGCGTCGGTGGATTCATGGAGGATCTCTTCCATGAGTCTGCAGGCAACCCATTAGCAGGTATTCACGGAGATGTGTAAACCATGAAACTATGCTTGCGTACTCTGGGACTGCCGGCGCAACCATGTTGTCCCGTCGTCTCCTTGTTGATAGCTTGTTTCTTCGGATGAGAACCTATTCTCCAATCAAGAAGATTTACACGGTAACGACTTGAATCGGCCAAAGCTATACCGGTCGGGATACGCTGGTTGGGGGTATCTCGAAAATTGCTGACTCGTGGTCCAACTCCAAGAACTGTGCAGGGCAGATGTCTCGAAGCTCGACCGCACAAACCATCCCGCTGTCAGCCTTATCACGTGTTCATCATCTCCTCGACGACATGTCTTGGAGCTTCGTAGCCATGATTCGGCTGAGGGCATGAATATCATATATGCTTCACCAGTTCTGGCCTTAAGAGTTCCAGGTTCTTTTCCTATCCAGAATCTTGTATCGATATTCCTGACATCGCTAACATATGGCCTGAGATCCTCCTTCATCAGCTGAGGCCGGCAGCTTACAATCCTCTCCTTTCACGGGATCTTAAATCCTTTAAAATGTGTTCGGATTCTATACTCACAAACCTCCATTCCATCACTGCTTGCTATTTTGGCATAGTTAAACTACTATATGCTTGCATCGATGCGCTTCGAAGAGTTTGCTTTAGTCGTCTAGAATAGTCATGGCGAGATACTTGGCCATATAGGGGCAAGCTTTCTTTGCGTACCGTCATTATTCTTCGAGCTTCGTTTTTACCAAGAGCCTGGCTACTTGGATCTGGTATAGTCTGGTACTCCATCCTGATTCCTGAATATCCCGCGTATCATGGCTATTACGACTATCCAAGCTTTCTCCCTCCCAGCCGCGGCCAGCCTCAGCAACATATTTCAAGATCTTGGGATTTCTAAAATTGTCCTTCTAATGCTTCACGCGAAAGCTTTCCGGTTTTTTTTTTTTTGGGAATCTTCATGCGTAAGTAAGTCAGACTGTATCTCTATTGATGCCAAGAACATATCCATTAGTTCCTGTTGCACGAATCAAATACAGCAGTGGCGTTAACGCGCTATGTTCTACTACCCTTCCGCAAAGACAGAGTCAAGAAAAACATTTGGATCATCGAAGTACGTTACTTAGATGGAGGTATTAACTTATGTGGTATGCACACGATAGTATATTGCTGCATAAGAGGCTGCTTCTACTCGATATCTACTGAATTACACGTCTATCATTCTACCACTTTTTTATAGCCTTGTCTCTTCACTAGCTCGCATACATCATCGCCGATATTTCCCGCCTATACAGAACCAATAATATCACGAGGAACAAAGTACCCAGCAAAGAGCGTATTGCCCGTTTCGTCTCGGAGCGGACATATATACTGAAAGGATCTAATAGCTCAATCTGTATCCCAAACTAAAAGAATGAGAAACAAAAATTTGCAAAAATTTGAAAAAATTTGAAAAATGCAAAACTCAACTAGAAGCCCATATCATCGGATAAGGGATGATGATATGAGGTTCTAGTCTACAAACCTAACTGAATAGGTTTTTTCCGATGGGAACTCACTGCGATATTTACACCAACCATACGGGAACCTGGGGGTATGAGCCGTTAAGCCATCGTCCCCGAGTTCCACCAGTCGTGAAAGACGCAGCTGGAACTTTTTATTTAAAGATAAGTGAATTTTTTTCCCCTGCGCGAGAGGCGAGGAGAGCCCGAACATTCAATATACAATAATCATGAGCATCTCAATACTTGCTACGGTAACCTACTGTAAAATTCCCATTTAAGCCCTCCTTCTCCTCCTCATCCCCGTCTCCACCACACAAACAACCAGCATTTGCACCCGCACCTCCAAAGCCAGACCACCAAGTCCTCCCTATCTCTCATCCAAGCAGATGGTATCCCGCCATATCAGCCCAGCCCCAAATAACCAACGACAGTAAGTAGCCACCCACTTACCCACCAGCACACACACACACACACACACACCCACACCCACAGCAAAACGCCCACCCCATTCATCCACCCACCACATGACAACCCACAACCACTACCACACTAAATCTAAAACAAAAGCAACCATCCACAACCAACTCCAACTAGCCCCAACCCAAGCGAACGCCCTCAAACCGCCTTCGAACCCAGCCACCCAGCCAGTCGGTCGAAACAAACCCTCTACTCTGCTCTACTAGGTAGGCGTAAACCAGAAGCGAATCACATCTCGGTCTCAGTTGTGAACAATTGGAACAGGAAAAGGAAAGGAAAACGGAAAAACTTGCATGATATCATCATGCGGTCTAACAAACAAACAAGCAAACTCCCCCACCTCCTCCTATCCAGCATAGTAAGGCAATCAGAAATCAAATGAGGAAACATCCTACACCGTCTATTTAAGTAGACTCATACCCCCACCTTCTTCTTCTTCAATCCATCTCTTCTTCCTAGTTTAGCAGGTACCATCTAACGAATACCCTACGGCTCTTTCCGCTCTCGGGAGGTGGAGGATATTACTTAAAGAAGTAAACAGACAAATATAAGTTCACCAACTCGAGCAAACTTCGTTCAGCTTCTACGATTTGAAGTATGTTAGATCCCGTCTACCATCCATCCATCCATCCATTTATCCTCCTATCAATATCCGATCCGTCTCTGCCTATAAAGCTTTAAAACATAAAAGATAAATATCACCTGCCCCTCCCCCCTCTCCCCCCTCCTCTATAAAGTCACCAAAGGAAACGAGCTATTATCTAAACTCAAAAGATCCAACTGCACTTGAATCACTTCTTCAAAGCTTTCAGCCAGCAAAAAAAAAAAACCCCCCCCAAGCCCCCCAAAACTCGCAGTATCAAGTTATTTATCCTTTCCTTTCATTTTCCTACACTATTCACAAGAGAGAACACCTCGTAACCCAATGAACACACCCGCACCCACCCAGAAAACCAGCAAAGCCAGCAACCCCAAACCCCAAACCCCAAACCCAAACCTCTCCCTCCAACTCCCAATAACAACCGAATTCTCGCTCACGCTCCCATGCATATCTCTCCAATCGTTCGTTAGTTCGTTCCTTCCTTCCTTCATTCCAATCATTCAACCATTCAATTATTCAAGCCGGCAATCGCTCAATCACTCAATCAAACTTCGACCACTCATCAATCCACTGCTCCACCACCTTCTCCTTAGGAACCGGAGTGCGGAAAGTCCCATCAGGATCGCAAGTCTCGCCCGCAGCGCGCTTCTCCTCCCAGTACTCCTCCCACGAGTCATAGCCGGTCGGCATGGGGAGACGTCTGTACCACTTCGGCGTAAGCAAGACGTGTCAGTGGACCTGCTGGTGGTGTTGCGAAGAGGAGTTCTGCGGGGGAGATTGGGGGGGGGGGATGGAGAAATGGAATGAGATGAAATGAAATGGATGGATGGGTGAATATGTATATATGTATGTAAGAATGTAGGAATTTAACGTACGTTTGAGTCGTCGACGGGAGCGGGAGCCGGTGCCGGGGTCGGGGTCGGGGTTGAGCCAGTTTGGTCGTCGTTCTGAGCAGCCGGTAGCGCCACCTCCTTGTCCTCACCCAGCTTGGCATCATCGTGCTTGTCGAGCGCAGCTTCGGGAGCGGCTGCTGCGGGATTGGCGGGGGTTGCGGGGAGGAAAGATGCGGCGGTGACGGACGAGTCTTGGAGGTACGCAGAGGGCCTACAACTATCTGTCAGCCAAGTGCTAGAAGTAAAGTAAGATGACCACCTCTCGGGACTTTTGTACTTACGCCTTGGAACCGCTCTGTTGCTCGTCCTGGGCGAGGAGAGATGCACCGTTGTGTTCCTGGGTCACAGGGCCCGAGCCATTGTCGTTGATGGCGGCAACGGCGCGCAATCTTGCCCCGAGATTGGTTGCGGTTTGGAGGGATGGGTTTGCTGGGCGGACCTCGTTGCTAGGTTGGGAGGGATGAGGGAGTCGGGAGCGTGCCGCCTCTTCGCTGTCATCTCTGTCATTATCCATATGCTCACGACCTCTAGCCTCTCCCACAACAGTCTGATCGCTGTCAAGGGCGACGTCCTGCGAGGGGTTTGGTGCGTAGCTGGGAGCGGAAGCAGATGCTTGAGATTCCTTTGCGACACGAGCGGAAGGAGTAGCAGAGTTGAGTCGGGCTCTCTTTGCGGAAGACATCTCCGTGGACTCGTGATCAGTACCCAAAGTGGTAGGGACGTTGCCAGGCATGACTTTCGTTGGCGTGTTCGTGGCCGATGTAAGGTCGATGAAGTTATTGGCAGTGGAAACTCCAGCGGGTGGAGACGTAAGATCGATCAAGTTGTTGGCAGTGGAAACTCCAGCGGGTGGAGACGTGAGATCGATGAAGTTGTTGGTAGTGGACACTCTAGCGGGCGAAGACGCAAGATCGATGATGGCCGGAGGATTGAGTGAAGCTCCGTTCGCGTCAGGAAGCTCCGGCGAATCTTCGCCAATACCTGAAGCGGAATCATCATTGTCTGAAGAGTATTCATAAGAACTTGAAGTATCTTCTTCATGAAAACTGAGAGGATCTTCATCGGAACCTGAAGCAGGATCTTCATCAGCATCTCCCGCAGCATCTTCATTATCAGCATCCTCTGGAGTATCTTCCGCAGCATCTCCAGCAGCATCTCCCGCAGCTTCTCCCGCAGCTTCTTCCGCAGCATCTTCATCGACATCTGAAGCAGCATCTTCATTATCAGCATCCTCTGGAGCATCCTCTGGAGCATCCTCTGGTGCATCTCCGGCAGCATCTCCGGCAGCATCTCCGGCAGCATCTTCATTATCAGCATCCTCTGGAGCATCTCCCGCAGCGGCCCCCGCAGCGGCCCCCGCAGCATCTCTAAAAACATCTTCAAAAGCTGCAGATGCGTTGTCAGATAGAGCCCTAGTTGGCGGCCTCTGTGGTCCTCGGACAGACGTAAAATCAAGACGGGTATTTGCCCTAGGGAACAGCGCAATCCGAGAAGTAAAATCGATTGAAGCCTCTCTCTCAGTTCTTCCGAAATTTCCGGCAGCGCCGGGCGATAGTTCGAACGACTCACGGTCCATAGAGGTACTCGGTACAAAGACATCTGGGGCCATGTCGGCGAATCCGACGGCTGGCGACATTCGACCTCCTCGGACAGGCGTAAAATCGAGACGGGTATTTGCATTACGGAATACCATAGTGGGAGCGGTGAAGTCGATTAAAACCCCTCTCTTGCGTTTTACAACATGTGCGGCAGCGTCCGGGGATAAGTCGAACGACTGACGGTCCATGGGAGTCATTGGCACAATGATATCCTGTGACATATCGGCGAATACGGCGGCGTCATCTTCAAGGCTAGATTCTTCAGAGAGGCGAAAAAGCTTGGTTGTATCGATGGAATTTGGAGAAGGATGAGCAGAGAGCCGAGGGCGACTTGCGTTCGGAGTGAGAGGAAGTACTTTCGAACGAGGGCCTGGGGTCGAGGGTCCCGATGGACCGGCGACTAAGGGGTCTGGTTTCAGAGTGAGAGGAGGTGTTTTCGGAGAAGGGCCTGGGATCGAGGGTGGCGATAGACCGGCGACTGGGGCGAGCGACATCTTCAGAGTGGAAGGAGATGATTCTATTGTTACAATAGAGCAAGAAAGCAGGGGCGATAACAAGTAACAAAGTGTGGTGATCGGAAGATCGATGTTGTGAAGAGAAACAGAAGCAAAAATTGAAGTCGGGGGGTTGCGAGTTATAGGTTGTGGGTGGGGAGAGGAAAGAAATGAATCGAAGGTGAATAAGAAATCGAAGGTGAGTGCGTCGCGTTGAGGCTGTAACGAGATAGCAACCACAGTTACTTTAAGCGACGACGACGACGCACTTAAGTTCAAAATAAAAATATTTCAAAATGACTTCTAGATTAAAATTCCAAACCTCACTTAACCTAACCTAACCTACCTAATTAGCCTGGGCCACGCTGTGCTCTGCTGTGCTGCAATCCGATTCCTTTGATGCAGGCAGACTCTTTACAGTCAAAAATGCGCTGTCTGATCAATCCTAGATCCAAGTCTTGCCTGATGGCTGCAATCGGTTTTTATCTCTGGTCTGATCTGGCCTTTCTCTCCGTTTCTTTATTTCCGCTTTCCAGGTCAAGTCAGGTCAGGTCGTGCTACTGCCGTGTTTTTTTGCCACGTCCTAATGCCATAAGTTTGAGGCTTAATCTATTTCGGTATGAACTCTCGTGAAGGCTGGCAGCGGATTGAATTGGGGCTATAGCCAGAGCCAGAGTTTGAGGTCGGGTTCGTAGTCTTGCATCCGGACGCCCCAAACTATCATAGGCCGACCAGTGTAAGAACGTGCGACTGTGACCAATACCAAGTGGATTGAGCTGAGATCTGCCTATCTCCTTGAATCAATAGTCTTTCTTACCGGAGCTTGGACGGTAGAAAGTTAGAAATACAGATTAGTAGACTGACAAATTGGATGGCCGAGCTATATTGTACGAGAACTAAAGGCGCAGACCTGGTTAGAACCTGACAAAGGACTGCTGTATAAAGCAGTCTGATATCTTAGGCTGCATACTGAGATCTTGGGATAATCGTTGAATCTTTGCAGACAGAGCATAGAGCTATCGAAGCTTCACTCGCTCTGTATATAATACACGAGTCCTCGAGGAGTAGCCATGATTATGCTTATCAAAGACCAGCAACACGAGCACTTATAACGATTCTATATTAAGAGAACTGGTTGTTCTCTCTTTTTCTCGCTTTCCATAGGACGTAATTGAAGGATAATATCCCACTTTTCAGGTCGGGTGTTCGTTGGCTGCTGAGCGGAAACTGGCAGTCCAGATAACAGACACGTCAATTGAGCTGCAGGAGGCATTCGACCTGACAAGTCTTCGACATTACCTTTGGGCGGGCTGACTTCTTCGACTCAAGGTAGCAGGACTTTATGTTTGGTCTGCAGCAAGGAACTTGGAAAAGGAATCTGCATTCGTACACTTCCGAAGCAGTGAAGATAGATCAATAATACTGCCATTCTTTTTTAGAAGACTAGTGATTCATATCTGCATAACAACTATCAGTCACATCTACTGGAATTCCTTGGGGGGAAAGAAAGAGTACCCAGGCTATCTATCTATCGGGTGTTACGGGCATTACGGGCATATCACGCTCCGATCTCGAGGCGACTGGTATATACATGTGCGGAAGGCTGTCTGTCGGTCGATTGGTTTTATTGAGCTGGTGGTCAAGTCCATCCGCTCGCTGCAATTATTGCGATTATACGTTGGTTGACCAGACGTCGAAGGTTGACGTTGACGGTTGATGTAACGATTCGGATCCGATATGTTATACCCACTCCTCGCACACTTTCTATATACACCCTCTCTCATCTCTCTCGTGACAGGAAATCTCGCTAAAGCAAACCTCTTTAATATTAATTACACACCCCTATATGTTATGTACAAGCTTTCACATCCACCCCCTCGCCGCATGATTACAGCTTGCTCTTTCTATTTCTCCCGCTTCTCTTCCTACAACACCAACCGTCCATCCATCTACAACATCATCGCAACATCATCGCAACATCATCGCAACATCTTTCTACATACATCCTCCACTGAGTCAATTGAACTATTAACACCATCAACCATGTCTACCAGAAAGCGCAAAGCTGACGACGAGGAGCTTGTTGCGCTCCCTTCAGACAGCGAAGGCGAGGAAGAAGAGGAGTACGTCGCTATCCATTCCCCCTCAGTCCATCGCGCACGACTGGAGAGATACCAATTGGGATCTCTGCAGCTTCACAGACAATGATCGAGCTTCAAACCCCTCGAAACTGATCGCAAAGCTGTCTGCGTCGCGCAACCGGCACATGTCAGCCGGAGATGCGCTGAAATGCTGTGTTATCTATGTTTGAGAGATACAATACTGACGGTCAACCGTAGGTACGAGGACTCTGAGCCTGAAGCTGCGAATGAAGAAGATAGCGAAGAGGAAGAGGAGGAAGAAGAGGACGAGGAGGCGGAGGGTATGCGCGATTTATCTCTCCCCTTCAACATCACCTCAATGGCATCCCAAATCCCCTTTGCAGAAACCCGCGGTGCACAAAGAACTCGACTAACAGCAAACAGAAGCCCAACCCGCTCCCAAGAAGCGCAAGACTGAAGCTGCTCCTCCCGCCAAAGCCTCTGAGTCTAAAGACCCAGCACCAGCGGCAGAGGAGAACGACGAGGAAGACAAGGAGGAAGATGACAAGAACGGGGATGAGACACCTGCGAAAGCCGCTAAGGCCGTTGTAGGCGGTAAAGTCCCCAAGGAGGCTGACTTAAAGGAGGTTGATGAAGAGGATGAGGACGATGAGTGAATGCGCAATTCAGAAGTAAGAAGGCGTGGGATGGGACGTGATAAGATAAGACGACGCGCAGGCAATGCGACCTGCGACTGGGCTGGATAAGGGGGTTGGCCGGACATTTGTGGATTGGCATGGGGGGTTTTTTTTTTCTTCGACGTGTGATGAATGGGTGAAAAGATATACGATGAAACTCCACGAGGTGGAATGATAATGATAGCCATATGCTTCGTAGCTAGATCTCGGATCAATCCAAATCGTGTACCTTCTTAACCCTTGCTGGGGTTCAATTCTCTGTTTTCCCCTTCTTTCTTGATTTTCGCACTCGATGTTTGATTCTTTGTTTACTCGTTTGTGTGTACTTGTGCTCCCGTCTCTTCTTCCACTTTGCTGTTCATAGTCCTTACAGCCATCTCAACCCTCTTTCAAAATCCCCATCTTCCCAGCACGAGATAGATAAGCCCAGCAGCTCAAACTCTCTTCCTTGCATCCATTCGTCCAGCCATCCCTCCATCCATCCATCCCCTCATCCCATTCCATTCTCTCCAAACAGCTTCATCTGAATTAAAAAAAAAGTACAAACAAAGATACCGGTACAAATAAAGATGCAAGTCCTACAAGGTAGGTCCCAGTTCCGTTTCTGTTTCCCTCAGCGTATCAGATCTGCATCCTGAGACGCGGCAGAGGACCCTTAGCCTCGTGCACGGAAGGATTGGCATCGGCATTGTGCTATAGGTACTATACTAATGCTATACTATACTTAAGTATTACTTTACGTACATGTCCTCATCGCAGATTTTTATTCTCATTCTCACCTCATTCTCACCTCATTCTTCTAATTTCTTTTTCTCGCATCTTGCATTACTGGGATTGTGGACTGGAATCTCATTTATCAATTGAGCTTCGGAGGTGTCGGATTTCGAATATCCAATTTCTGCAGAAGGTGGTTAGATCGTTCTCATTGGTGAGGGATTTGATTGATGACTGGTGCAACGAAGTGGTGACACATCGTTGTGCGGCTTCAATCCTTTTAGCCTTTTCGACCTCGATTACGTCGTTGTCATACATAACAACATATATACATATATACATATATATATATATATATATATACACCCGCTGCCTGGAAGCTTCAAAGGTCACGGAAGACCTTACCATTCACAGCGTCCACGCTAGCTGCGACTCAGCTGCATCTCAGGCTTCTGCAACATATCGATAGCGGACGTGGCGAGGAGGCCCGGGGTACCGGCAAGTCTGAAGATGGATAAAGGGCCCTCAACGTGGATTATGGAGATCCCAAGTTCAAGCAAGGATAAACCGAAGGGCGTGGATGTAGAGGGGTCGAAAGTGAGGATGATGGTTCGGAGGCTTTTCAAGACATCCCCACGGCCTGCGGAGAAGCCTTCTTCGAAGTCGATACCTAATACCCAGAAGGGCGAGAAGGATGGCAAACTCACTGGGGCAGCAGTTCTCAGCTTCAACAAGAGACCCACGAAGAACCTCAAACCATCCGCACCCATACCCCGAAAACCCACCTCCCAACCGCCCAAACCAAGTATCGAATCTCAACCCATGGCAGGCCCCGTAACAATCCCCCCACCGACCAGCGACCTCCCAACATACACTCAGAAAGACATACTCTACAAAGGCAAGGGCAAACCCCTCGCCTCATCCCGCGACTCGAAATTCAGCTCCATCAGCTCCCTGCCCTCTGGATTTTCCGTTAACCCCCCATCTCCCACGCTCTCCTCCGTCACAACCACATCAACATCACCAGCAACAGCCTACACAACCCTCAACCCCCACGAGTTTGCCCATCTGAACTCTCTCGTCAGGCGCTGCGCCCGCCGCCTCCACCAGCAGGACCTCCTCGCTAGCAACCTTGCCAATAATCTCCTGCACATCTTCACCAGCAAGGAGGCGCAGCTGCATGCCCAGAAGCATCTCCGCCGCTCCGAGCAGCAGCACATGCTGCAAACGCTTTTCCGCGTCCGGGAGCACTGCGGACGGCTGTTCCTACGCAAGGCGGCGTTCTCGCAACATGCGTTCTCGGTGCTGGAGAGACTGAAGAAAGTATCAACGGAGAGCGAGAGGGATGCCAAGGCGCGGATTCCAGAGGCGTGTACGAGTTGGCAGGCGAGCGAGGGATTGCGCTTTGTGGTGTGTAGGGAGGCGGTGGGGGATTTTGTCAAGGAGATGGCGAGAGATAGGCAATTTCAGACGGGGTTGGACGGGGATATACAGAATTCCATCCTGGAGTGCGCGAGGGAGGGGAGGTGGGTTGCTGGTGGCGGTGTAGGCGAGAAAGTTATGATGGGCCGCTTTGTAGGGTTTGTTGAGGCGAGGGGACGGAAGTTGGAGGAGTATTATGATATTTTGGAAGTGTTGGTCAAGCAAGTCGAGGAGGCTGTGATGAGGGAGAAGAAGGGTGATTTGATGTGGGTTGAAGCCTGCCCGAGTTGGGTTCGCTAGGAGCGTCACCCATCGGGTCCGCCAGTGTGTCATCTCCCTAGGAAATGGAAATTGTAATCATGAGGTCCTGGGGTCACAGGGTGCGCGATAAAATCACTGGCATCGAGGTACGATATGAAAAGATGATAGAAGTTAATACGATTACAAGACTGGTGTAGTCAACGGTCCAGCTGGGCTCTAAGCCAGTAACGTCGCTCGGTTAATTTAGCGAGAACGTTAAACGAAGAAGGCTACATTCCAACCATCGTCCCCGGCAACGGCACCACAATCGCAATCCTCTATTTCTCTCCCCTCTCTCCCCCACCTAACACTTACACTTTCATACATAAACACACCTCAAATATCCCATTTCCAATCAGCGAGTTGTTAACGATCCCAGGGTCTAGTTTCCAGTTTCCTTCTCAACGACTTCCAATTCTACTTCCGCTTCTATTTTCCACAACTATAGCCGGAAGAACGACACCCCTGATATGTAAAGAAGAAAATGGGCAGCTGTACATCTCGCCCTCTCCCTCCCCGGTTTCAACGCCGTCCTGCAAAACTATCCCGAGCCCGGATCCGCAAATCCCGCATCTCGCCCTCGATCTTCACCACAGCTAGCCAGCCAGAACCTATCAAGCCCGGCTGCGGCTCCGCCCCAAGATCCCACTCCTCCTCCACGTCCCGCTCCGGATCCTCCGCACCTAGCTCCAATCCCACGCAGTCAAAGACGACAACGGCAACAACACCACTCAACGACACGCAGACGCAGCTCCAGCCACCCACTCCCCAGAAGGAAGGCGCTCCAGCCGCCCCCGCCCTCCCCGTCCCACCGCAAGCTGCAACCGGCTCCCCGGCCTCGACATCCACCGCCGATCTCGAGCTGCGCAGCGTGCAGCCCCTCCTGGGGACCCTCATGCACGCCATCCGCGCCTACTCCTTCCACCGCGTACAGAGCCAGACGCAGACCCTCGCCGACCTGGCCGCCATCATCTCCTCGCTCCCGCCCGCGGTCCCGCCGCGCACGCTGGAGGCGCTGCGCGATCTCGAGCGCGACGTGGCGCGTCTGTACGCGGCCCAGAAGGCGCTCTTCAGCCAACTCTTTGAGCCCGCGCTGAGCGAGGCGGGCTCGCTGTGGAGCGAGTTCCTGGCCCTGGACCCGGAGGGCAGGAGGCGTGCGGCGCGGAATCTGGAAAGGGGGGGGGTGCTGATGCGGATTTTTGATGGGTTGGGGAAGGTGAGGGCTGGGTGTGAGGAGGTGCTGGCGAGGGACGCGGAGGTGGGTCGGAGGTTTCAGGCGCTGTTTGAGGGGGTTTGGGAGGAGTTGAGAGAGGGGGAGGGGGAGGTGGGTGGGGGTGTGGTGAGTGCTTGTATGCGCTGGCTGGTGTTGAAGATTGTGGAGGCGAAGAGGAGGGAGGGGTTGGGTGAGAGGATTGAATGGGTGAAGAAGGGGAGGGTGGAGGTTAGTGTTGCTCTGTTGGCTGTTGTGGAAGGCTTGAGGGAGGATGATTAAGGGGCGTGCTGTGTTGAGCAAAGCGATATAGAACTGTTGATTGAACTAAGCAGGTCGTATATAAGTCAACATAAACACGTACATACTTATGTATCTTGCTTCAAGCACCCAACAGCGGAGACATAACATAATAAGCTAAAATCACATCTTGTGTTCTTCCACCAACCTACCATATCTCGATAAATCGGCTCAGATAGATATTCAAATACCCTTTCTCTTAGACCGCTCTAACTTCTCGAGCAGTAGGTAAGCACGAACCGATATGCTCGCCAATAATTTCAGAAAATAAGAAAAGATACATATATCCCAGATTAATATTGTGGTGGAGCTGACGGCCTGTATTTGTTTTGTCCACGTATTTAGTACTATCATCAGACACTTCCGACAAGTAGATGCGTCACGTGTGAGGCAGTATATAGACGAGTAGTTGGTTCCTCCCTGAGCCATCATCAATCATACACATATATACATACAGAACACATTCGAGTGCCATTCGAACGTCCTCCTTTCCCCCTCCTTTTCAGCCTTGATTCTACCATGATTATATTCTTATACATCTCTTGATTCGCAGTCAGGTATATGCTAGAGCTCTTCCTTACACAACATATATATATATATATATATATATATACGTATTTCATTTTCAAGTATTCTTTCGCCTTCGCCCTCGTCTTCGGCATTCAAAGCATATTCCCAGATGTCAAGAATGAAATAATGAAAGCACTGACTAGCTTTGTTCCTCCTTCCATCTCCTAAAAATAAAATAATAAAAAACAACAACAACGGCGAACAGTCTATTCGTGCTATCATCGAACCAGAATCAGTCCAGATGAATGCTACGTTGAGGCTTAAAGAGGGGGGGAGAGAGGAGGGGAGGGTGTCAGGGGGGATAGGGACTTGCTCGCTAGAGAGAAAATAAGAAAATAGATATGTGTTACAAAGATGTGTGTGTGTGTACTGGTCACGACGACGGAATGCGTTTGTGGATATCGAGTCGTTCTTAAATCTTTGGGTTTGGAATTTTGACGATAGAGCTGTATGCTTGGTTGTGACATTGTTTTTTTTTTAATGGGGGGAGGGGGGGGAAGGTACTATGTGTTTATTTACTTTACTCATATCTCAAACGTCTGAGAAGTTGTGAATGATGGGTAGATGATGATTCATAGCTCTGAATAAGGAAGAGGTTGATTCGAAACTGCTTGAGAACTGTGAATAATTCTACATGGAAAATACAACCAGTCCAAGTATTTAAGCCGGGTGTTCCTCCTTCTTCTGTCGATACACTTTCAACCGCATTCTGATATAAATCCCTGATATTACCAGTTAAGCTGCTGCTTACATAACTAAGGCTACTGCTACAACTAACCATACCTCTACATGTCCCCTCCCCCCAAAATAAAAATGTTTAGCACCAGCAGCAGCTCCTCGCCAACGTCAAAATCCACCACAAACGAACAACCTGCATCCACATACACACCCGCATCCTCCCCCCTCCCCCCTCCTCATCCAAAACGCGCCTTCCTCTTCGAAGAGCAGTCCCACCTCAAAACCCTCTGCGCCAAAAGCGACGCGCGCTGCTACGCCGGCCAACGCCCCTACACCTACCTCGAGCTCACGGTCTTAATGAACCAGAAGATCAAGAGCACGTACGCCGTGAACTTCTCCATTTGGCTTTTCGGGGTGCAGGACATTGTCGATGAGATTGCAGCCGAGTGGCAGTGGTACGGGCGGGAAGGCCAGCCGGCTGAGACGGAGGTAGGACTCGGGGAGTTGGTGAGGTCGCGAGAATGGTGGTGGTGGCCGAGTCCGAGTGTGGTGACTGGGAGCCCTAGTACGACGGCTGGGTAGATTGTGATCCGAGTGAAGCTGAATATGTAACCGGTGGCTTGTTGTTAGACGAGAAGCTGCGCTGAATTTAGTCAAGAGCAAGGCATAAAGACCTATCGATGATTTTTGAAGGATGGACTGAAGGCAATGCCGATAGAGGAGAATTTGCCGCAGAGTTCTCATCTTGCCGATTATATTTCATCGCGTTCAATCTTATGGCGGGCGGTCCGCAGACCTCTGCTTGCTTGCATGCGGGTCCCGGGTAATACTCCGATTTCGAGATATTTCAATGATATTTATCTTAGCGCAAGCTATCGTGGTTTCCAACCGAGAGTGCGTTTGTTTGTTTTGGTTGATAGAAACCTACTGTTGGAATTAAAAATAAAATATTTTGATCTTGAAGAGTTAATTACAGTACTTGGATAGCTTAAGAGAACGTGGCTATCGAATTCTGGAATTACTTTGAAGCTCTATGGCTTGCTCTTCTTGTTCTCCACGACATTGCTACAATGGGCCAGCCCCTTTCCTGCTCGCCAGTTAAGCGAGAGCAGCCAGCCACCTCCTATCCAAGATTTCTTGCAGATTGTATGTTCCTTGTTTTATGGTCAGCCAGCGCCACCCTCGTCATTTGAAAGCTTCACCGGCTAACCTCTCATGAAGTTGTATTTCAAACTTTCCTGAATATGTTTTACTTTCTGTCATTTGTTATCTGACATTCCTCGAATATCTAGATATAGTTAACGATGGGGCTTTTCAAACATAAAGACAAGGCGAAACCGGATCTGCTAAGCCCCCAGCAAAACAACTCCGTGCCCCCTAGCGAGAGGCAGCAGTCTCCACGACCACAGCAGTTGGGACATTCGCAAAACAATAGCTTTCACGATTCGACCTACTACTCGAACAGTAATGCTTCAAGCGCAGAGTCGAGGACGAGTCAAATACCCGCTCAACGACCTTTCCAGCCCCCTGGAACCACCATCACGACCACCACAACAACGACAACAAGTAAAGCGCCCGTCCTCTCCCTTCAAAAGCAATAGCTAAACTTGTAAAGCCACGACGACAGTAGCTTCAGATGGCACGACCCAAACCTATTCGCACCCTTACAACCCAGTAACTGACCCTCCACCGGAGGTCACCGAGACAAGAGTCGACCACAGCCTCCCCCAGAATGCAGACACGAAAACAGGCATCTCGCAGCCCGTACCGCAATATGGAAGCCCGCAAAATCCAGTTCGAGAAGATGCGCAACCAAACCGGATAGCCAGCCCACAGACTAGAGGCCGACCAAATCCTACGATCCAGCAAACGGCACCGACTCCAGGAACTTCCAATCCGAATTCGTTCATGCAGGGGCCAGCGCGCAAGCCGACACCACATCAACACGGAGGAGGAGGATCACCGTCTCAGTTTGCCTCCCCACCGGCGCAGCAGAAAGGCAACAGTGATTCAAGGGCGGAAGCAGAACTGGATGCCGCACCCATCTCGCCAACCACAGCCGGTGGTCGGCCAATCCCTCCCAGGTCTGAGTTCCGTAAGTCGCCTAGTAATCAGCAAGGACCGATTCCGTCGCTTGTGCCAGACGGTCCAGCGTCGCCAATCATGCCGGAGCGGTCCGAGAGAAGGAGATCAGGGGAGCACGTCGTGGCGCCGTTGAATGTTAGTGCAGTACACAATCGAAGCCCGGGAAAAGCATATGCCCACAACACGAGTACGCCGGACCTGGCTCAGCAATACGCAAGAGGCGATACAGGTCTCCCTGCTAGCAACGAGCCGTTTAGCCCAGCAAGCCCCACGACCGGCCGTCCCAGGACACCGAATTTCTCACGACCAGGCGTCGCAGCAGCAGGGACCTCGCCGGCGCTACCTGTGTCGCCAGTGTCAGCAAGTCCAGCAGTCTCAGGCACAAACCCACCAGCCCCGGGAGCGAGAACGAGCGTTGCCAGCGGGTCCACCTCTCAGCTGAAGCCCGCTCGCAAACTTCAAGGCGTCGCATCTACTCTCAAAGGCCTGCACGGCGCCGGGGAAGCCTTGCGAGGATCGGTCAATGGGCGAATTGCACACGTGACGCGCGACCAGGCTGAAGAGGAGCGGATGCGCGCCGTGAGGGAGAAGGGCTTGGGCGAGTGGAGGGGTAGCGGGCTGGATGCGAAGAGTGCCGGGCTGAGGGAGGGGTTTAGGGAGAAGGCCGAGGGCAGGATGAGGACGAGGAGGGCGAGTAGGGATCGAGATGGGGTGCATGGGAGCGAAGGGCCAAATGGGCTAGAGGCTGTGCATGAGACGGATCGGTGAGAGGGAGGTTCAATGATGAAAGAGTTATGATGTTGATGATATGATGTTGATGATAATACCGTATGAAATGATCGGATTGGGGAACGTACTAGGTAGGAGGTTACATAGCGCTAAATATCATTGACGGCAGTGTTCTCTGCGAGGCTCAAAAAGTCTTTGGGAGATTTGCTAGATGGTATAGGTAGTGTACATCCATCCGGATTCCCATACGTAAATCGAGTTGTCACCGGATGAGAGCGCGGGAAAAAAGGGGTATCATACGCAACAATATCTATAACAAGATACCTAGCAGTCAGCCCCCCACCCCCTCATAGCATTGAAGTCCGAAGCAAGTCTCAAGCCCTGGCCAAGCAAGCCAAACGCACCATCCGCCAACGCGTTCCCAGTCCTGGGAGTCTCGGGCTGGTACGCCTGACCTCTACTAGCATCCGCCCTCTCGGTCGCAAGCCGATACTGCTCATCCAAGGCGGCATCTTTGCATACAATCCTCGAAAACGCCGCTCTCTTGATGGCGTTCTCCCACCTGTGAAACCACTCCACCTCGGTCATGACCGCGCATCGCCGGTTGACGCTACCCGGCGGGGAATCTGCATATCGGAAGACCACCTTGACAGTCTCGTAGCGGGCCGTGACGAGGGCGAGGAAGGGCCAGGCGAAGAGCCAGAGGAACGAGCAGTAGAACAGCCAGCGGATCCAGACCGTGATGCGCCACTCGTTGATCTTGCCTGGGCTGTAGACGATCAGCGCGCTGTGTTGCACCGGGAAAGTGACGGAGAGGTGGCCGCGGTAGTTGGTCTCTGCAATCGCCGCGTGGAGAAGTGTCTCCAGTCTCCTTTGATCGTGGTTGGCAATCTCGCGTTTCAGGGTGAAGGACTTGACGCCCGACCGGTCCGCCACGTATCTCTCGCACCACTTCTGCAGCTCCCTGTCCGTGCCTCCGCCGCCCTCCTCGCCGTCTGCGCCCTCGCTCACGGTGGGGTGGAACGACACGATCCTCGTTCCTCGGTACCCGCGCTTGTTGTCTGGGAGGAGCTCCATCTCCCCGCGCCCGAGCAAGTCGGTGATGTTGATTGAGATGAGGAAATCCTGGATCTTTTCTCTCGTGTCCTTGTTCCCCGTCCGGCGCGTCTCGTGGTGGAAGCCGCTGAGCTGGACAAAGTACGAGGGGGGGTGCTGGGCTTGCTGCTTGACCATCTGATAGAGGGCTGTCGGGCGGGTCGAGTAGTCCGGGAACCGGGTGCGGTATTCGCCACGGTAGAGATCATGGCTGGACCATGGGAGATCTGGCGGAGGGCTGCGAAGATTTGTTAGCTTGGGGCATAGAATACTGGGACCGGAGAACGAACGCGTTCCATGCCTGGTGGGTCGCGGCCGCCGCGGTTGATGCTTGCCCAAGGAGAGGAGTCTCTGCAAGGATATTCTCGTAGGGCGGAAGCTCGTCGTCGGGAAACGCTGATCCTACATCATCGGGGAGACTTGCAGATCCCATCGACGTCTCTGCGTATTGCGGTGCATCTTTGTGGGAGACTCGCGGGGGAGTTTGATATTCTGTCTTGCCGGAACCCATGAGGAAAAGAGCGTGATCAATAAAAGGAATATACAGTCTTATGGGAATACAAGCTGCCCGTAGACACGAGGACGAACGACGCGTCTGGTGTCGAAGTCAACACCTGGTCTGGCCAAGTCCTTGTCATGATTGGCATCTAATTGAGACCCCGGGTTCCTATATTTAGACCTGCTATCGCGATTTGAGTTCCGCTTCGCCGCACTTCACGTCGACCTCACGATAAAATTGCAACATCATCCTGCGACTTTTACATACACGGGGTATATTCTCTCATATGGATCTTAACGTTCTCTCTTACACATAGACTACGCGCTGAAGAATGGCGATTGGCCTCACAGAAGCAACTCAGATCCAGCCTCTTATCGACCTTGGAATTGAGACCTGTCCGGAAGCATAAATGCAGAATCAGTATTCCTTGTCGCGTTCTTTCAAGTATTCAGTCACTATTGCTTTTTTACATGACGGACGGAATACGTATATGAGCTCTAAGCTCGTTAGCTCCTGTTTCGCAGAAACGCGAGTCGCGCCAATAAACCCAACTACTTGGTCATGGATTTCAGACTTGGTGGGCTTCGAATGCTCTGCTGACGAGGTCGCGGATGCCGATGCACCGGTGTTGGTCGCTGAGGGGCAGCTGCCTGAGGACCAGGTTGAAGGAGCCAAAGACGAGAAAGTGCTGCAGGCGGATGTTGACGACGTAGCGACACTAGTAAGTGATTCCAAGGGCTGGCTGGACGTGGAGATGTTCCATCCGGGGATCGTCGTGGTTGTCCATGGCCATTGAGAGGAACTTGTGTAGGGAAGCGATGACCAGAGACTCGTAGCAGCTGAGGATGATGGGCTAGTGCTTGTCTGGAGCGTTGTTGGCCAGGTCGATGCGAGAGCAAAGGTACTGCTCACGAAGCCCGCTTCCAAGAAGAAGGAGAAGGTGGTACTCAGTCTCATCTTGTTTCTTGTTTTCAATGCTCCGTCTAGATTGCGCTCTCGAGAATGTATGGGTGTAAGAGCCAGCCGTGCCAGCATTTATGCGGCGACATGAATCACCTGACGATATTCGTTCATTTGTTGATAGCTTTTTCGGCGCTGGAAACCCTCTTATGGTATGCATTTGTCATACGCTCAGATCAACGAGTTGTATGATGGGCTTCGGGAACTGCGTTTTCCCTGGTAGTCAATTTTTGTTTTCTTTGCGGCTTTATGGCGCTCCGAGTGGCTGCATATGATTCCTGGAGGCTTTTCAGGCACTCAGCTCTTGTTACGTGTTACAGCAGAGTTGCACGGAATTGGCTAGATAAAGCTACCAGCGAGCTATGTTGAAAGCATATTTTTAGGCATTCCACCATGGAGTCCGACTGTTGCCATTGTCAAGCTTCCTTTTAATAGCCGAAATATTCTGCTATCGATGTGGACTTCGCGAGAGAGTTGTCGTAGGAGGCAGACGGTAAGTATCAAGACCTGGAGAAGCTTCATCTCGATTACCTTGGACCTTTGGTCGTCCAAAGCGGAGCAGAGAGGGTTTACTCTGATGCTGAATCAAAGATGGGTTCCTCCAGTGCTAGAAGCTTCCGAGTTGGATTGTATTTCGAGATATTTAGCAATAGCAATTACTTTTGCACTTGGATATTGTTCTCCTTTGTATTTCGAACCTTTCTAGATTGCACCTCGACGACTCATATGTATAGCATATGCAATCCCTTAGCACCTACAGATATATTCTCATTTCTCTGCTTCTATGGCGGAAAAGCGCTTAGATAGTGTTTGAAGAGCTCAATATTAGCTATAAAAAGAATCAATTGCATATCATGCTTTAAATCTGCACAAAGGGGGAGTGTTTTTTTTTTTTAAAAAAAAAAGCTCAGTGGTGTTACACAGCTTAAAGCCTTGTGGTACACCTTTGTTTGAGGCTTTCCAAGCTGAAAAGCGGTCAACTCAGTTCAGGCGAGCATCGGGTCAAGATGCAATTAATAATCTCTAACAAGGAATTGGGTAACTATGGAATATCTTGGCTCTCTCTTGTATTCGTATCATTATATATAAGTTATCGGTCTGCCTTTCGAAAAAGTAGCAAGTAGTCTCGAGACCCTTGCAACAGCAGTAGACGAATGGTCTTTTTTCCCCCCAGCAACGATCTATCGAAAAGGTATTTTCTTCGGTATTTCCCGGCTTAAAAACTTATAAGCACAGCAATCAAATGGCAGATATATCGTGCTATATACGTACAGTATATAGCGAAGCTCAAAGCTACGGCCTCCTGCCCTAAAAAATTGGGGCCAATGCGCTCGCTTAGAAAAAGGGGTAGCCAGCCCCTGATCCAATCCAAACACGAAAAGCACATTTTTCATGAGCGAAGAAGATACAAAAGGTATCGAAATTTTGTCTACCTATATCTTGCAGAATGTATCATGTTAACAGAAGTTTGGTAGTATGCTAAACTTTTGGAAATGAATCCCAAGTCCTGCCGGCGACGCTTTAGATCCCGTGTATATTGAATCAGGCCTGGTAAATCTCCGCAAGACAAGCCTGGGTGGGTCACTCTGCCATTTCTTGCAAGGTAAAGTAACCCAACAAGTTCGAAATTTTTGGCTATTTTCTTGCCGAGCTCTCATCCCCGCTGTACCCGAATTGGGATTCTCATGAGGCCAAAATTCATAGAGTGTATATGCTATAAAAGGTGGCTATTGGGCATCCAACCCGCAGGAGGTCATTCAGAAAAGAGTCGAAACATCGCAAGAAATACTAGAGCCACTTTTATTCATAAAAAGGCAAGAACATGTTGTACAAGTTCTTACTAACTTATCTAATAATGAGTTCGTAAGTTTATTTTTCGGCCCTTATACGAAATCATCTTTATTTGGTCATCGTAACACTGCAAGGGAACGATTTGATAGCAGTTAATGGATTGACAAAAAAAAACTTACCACCGCTTATAAAAGATGTAAATATTATTGGTTATTACTGGAATAATCTAAAATGTTCGATCGATGTCCAAGAATATGAGGGAAATTAGTATAGAGAAGTTGTACTTTGTTATGGGACTATTGAGGAACGACGGCAATTAAAGTTCCTCCAACTGGGATCCATACTCTGCCAGGGAAAGAATGAATACATACATGATAATATACACGAGAGCGCGGATTCCTGGCGAAGCACGCGATGAGAATTCCCGTTCTCCTGGGCATTCATTTACGGTGGACAGAGCATGATGACTTCTCTAGTTGCTGAATATCGAAAAATTGCGACTTTACAGTCTTTAACCTAAGAATTCGGAAGGCATTGACCTTCGGATAATACTTCTTATCCTGCCTCTTCTGTTTTCTGCGCTAGTGAATGTGATCGAGAATAAATCTATCGATGTTTCAGGCAAAGAAGAGATGGCTTGATTTGGAGCGATTGACAAGATGAATCTTCTGCGGCGTTTGACCTTTAGGCCCTTGCGAGTAGTCGGAGTATAGAGGTTCTATTCCAGTCAATATACAGCTTGTAATATATTTGGTTTGTACAGCAATTATCAAGATAATACCAGAGATACTCGCCAATTCAAGCTTCGATACGGAGTGTGCCGGATCGATCTGCCAATGTCGGAGAAAAAGGCAAAGCAGCTGAAGAAGGACGAGTCAGAAGCATCCCGTTTACATCCATATGAACTGCCGCTTGAACCTAGTGGCGCACCGTAGAGATTCTTGCTATCATCAAAACTTGGGTTGCCATCTGGCTCAATGTCTATCTGTAGAGACTTCCTCGCAGTGGGAGCGAGCCGCCGTGGTCTATTAAGCTGAAGGCTTACCTTTCTCAGTCTCTTGCTAGGCAAAACCGAAACTATTATACGGATACAGCAGTTTCATCCGCCATCCCGTATACGAGATGAATTCGACGTGCGATTTCCTTCGAGAGTCTTTGCTCAGCATTTATGCAAGGTGCAAAAAAGTTCAATTTCAAACGGAGCTGACAGGCCTCTGGAACTGAGACAAAGATCCTTGTTTGCTTTTATATTTAATCTCAACCGCCCTCAGTCCCTATTCCGAATCAGAATTCAATGAAAGACTGTTGCTAGGTAAAGTGGAAGGAGAGCAGGGTGCACGGACCTCGGGCCTTGGCACTGGGTCCTACCTACTCCAACCTCGTCCCAATTCCTAGTTCTAGATAATACAAGTCAAGTCAACCACATCATCAGAACTGCTTCCTCCTGTGACCTAGTATGATCACCAGATAAGTACTAGCAATCAAGATGAACGGAATACTAGCAATAGTTCGACGAATATCAGACTTCACCTGTTGGCTGACTAAAAGCCTAATTCTACTTAAGACAGCAACAACTCCTACCGACGACTTATCCACCAATACAGCCAAGTTGCAATCGACATGACAAAGCTGCTCAAAGGAAACCAGCAGCTCAAGTGGACTGAGAAAGCAAAAAAATTCAAAAAAATCGTTCAGCTAACTCCAATAAGCCTGTCATGAAGGCACCATCCACACTAATGGTCCATTTCGATCTCAAGCTAAGAGTATGGCTGGAGTGCGATACATCAATCATAGCCTCAGCAGGTATCATTTCACAGAAGCAGCCCCCAAAAACTCGCGTGAAACCTAAACAGAGTTCAAAGCCTGAGAACGGGTTTCTAATTGACAATCATCATTTTCTCACTAGCCTTCAGTCGTAAGCGATGAGGGTAAAGACGCTGTTAAGGGCTTTATGAGTTTGATGGTCCCCCAGGCAGTTTTTCATGCCTTCAAACCGAAGGAAAAAACTAGAAGTTCGAGCCCGAGGCGACTATCCCATCAAAGATTCCACGACAGAACGTGTTGGTAGAAACGGTTTTGGTGATTGAGATACGGGAGCGAAAAGTATCGAGGCTTTTATATACAATTATTATACATCCATCACACGAGAACTAAAGGCTGCCCTGAACAGCGATGAATACTGGGACTTATAAGCCCTTTAATTTCGGAGTATCTTTTTACTCCTAGAGGTTTATCCTTCTTTCTTTCCGTCTTCCATCAAAGAACGACAGATCAATTGCGGAGGGAGAAAGAATGTATATCGCTGGGCATATATATGATAAATTCCATCAAACATAAATTCTCACCAGCAAAAAAAAAAAAAAACAAAAAAGGGAAAAAAAGGAAAGATGAATGAATTCATACCGCGAATCCATACTGGAATTCTTAATACGCCACGCCTGTTCAGCTCCTTTGTTCCCGTTTCTAATCCTTTCACTCTTGGTAATTTCTCTCTCGTGTCTTACATCTTTCATCTGTTGTTGATGCCGTTTTTGCTAGTCCTTGATACCTTCAAATGTCAAAATTAGATCTAGGTTTCTGTACCTGTACATGAAGATCCTGATACAACCGTACACGTAGGGTCAGACTCCTCGTGCCTCTTGCCCAAGGCAGATTGTTCTTGATGAACGCTATGATCGTCACTCCTGTCCTCGGCAGGCGTCATCAAGGGCAGATCCGCATCACTGGTCATCGGCTTCATCGTGGTCCTAGGCTTCCTCGTGGTCCTGGCCTCCTAGCTTTCAGATTTACTAGCAGCTTCGGCAAGCAGCTTCGCCGCCCGGTACTGCTTTTCCCTTTGATAGTCGCGGATGACTATAATGATGACGGCAATAGTTATCGCAGAGAGTACGATACTAAAGACGATGGTTACGATGAGACCAGCTGTGTCGAGCGAGTCCTTGCGCGTGAGACAGATGTCGGGTGTACTGGAAAAGCAGATCTTGCCTGGGGCGCAGGAAGCGCTAAGGGAAGTCGTGGGTATACACGTGAGGGTCTTGCCGTTGGAAATTGAGCATGCGGAGACGCTGTGGGTCTTCGTGACAGAGCAGGCACCGATTGCGCTGGCCGATACAGAAGATGTGCTCATTGGAGAGAAAGATGGGGAGATTCCTGATGTGGAGGATGCCGTGCTGCTGCTGGAGGTAGATTGGGAGGACGAGGAAGGTTCGGATGTCGTTATGGCTTCTACGCTGGCGGCGGAGACTGCAGTCGCCGTCAGCTCAGCTATGGGGCCAGATGAAATGTCTGCTCTCTTCTTCTTCAGATCCTCCTGGCCAGCTCGACAAACGTTTGTAAACCACACAGCTTCTGAGAGGCCACCTGCGAGAGAACACCCGCCTGCCACCAGACAGGCCTCTAATTTGTCCAGCTTTCGTATATCGGCCGAGCGCAGGCATTTTGTCACTGAGCTGTCGGCGCATTCGATTCGAGCTACAACCTCATCCAAGTTCTCCTTGGCGCAGCCTGTCGCAAAGACAATTGCTACCGAAGCAAGCAGTGCTATGATGAAAGAACGCATAGTTCTTGTTTTTATCGGCTAATATAGTAGTAGCAGGAGCCGAGCTTGGTATAGATTGGGTGTCTGTTGCACCGCGTGTACACTCAAGCGAGATGTCTCTCACGTATGACAATCCTCGCAGTGTTTAAAGGTCAGTGGGGATGGCGAAAGAAAATAAGGGGCAGGAGAAAGAAGAGGAGAGAAAGACGAGATATAGGAGCAATCTCTTTCAAGACTTCTCTTCCTGCTGGATTGAACCAGCCTTTCAAGTGCTTACTTAGCTTATTGTAGACCGGCGGAACGAGCGTCGTGCAGGCTTTCTTTCTGTCTGGGACTGGGACTGGGACTGGGACTGGCACTGGGTCTGGGTCTGGGTCTGGGTCTGGGACTGGGTCTGGATCTATACCGGGGCCTGTCATCGGCTTCATGTCATGTCTGTAGCCGTAAGGAGCAGCCAACCAGGCAAGTTGTCGGGGGTTTGAGAAAGGCGCCGGTGAGCTTGAAGAAAGACTCCATAGAAAAGTGCCGCGTAAGGTCTTACGTAGGTGCGTGCCGACCGTGCCTCCATGGGTAGTGGTCGGGAGAGGATGGAAAAGAGACGAAAGGCAGAAAGAAAGCGAAAGAAGAGAAAAGCTTTGGTCAAGCTTCAAGTCAAAGGGCTTCACGTCAAAAGTAAAAGGTGAAACTCTTTGATCTTGATCGACTTCCATGACGGAACAGTCTTCACTCTTCGATACCATCGCTCTCTCGTTTTTTCAGACAGTAGAGTAGGCCACGTAAAATCCACGGATGCCACCGAAGTTTAGGCTGAGATGAGACGATGATGAACGTCACGTTACGTACCTATCTTCGGCTTCAATTTCGAGGGTCACCTGATTTTACATACGTCATCAGCGGTTGAGCACACGTGATATCTACATAAACAGGCTTGATCCAAAGCCATACTTCGGACTTATTAATCAACCCCCCTCTGACCTCTGCCCTCCATCTTCTCCAATCTCTCTAAACTACACATCTTCCAATCAATACCAACTTTCAAAACCCAGACCTTTCGCCACCAACACCACCACTACCTCCCAAGCAACCCTCAACATGCCTCTCGTCGTCCCAGGAATCAACTCGGGTGGCGAGGAGAACAACAAGACGACCGAGTGGATGAACAAGCTGGTCGGCAAGAAGATTGGGGAGACGAGTGATGCTACCGTATGTCGACAGTCCTCCCTTCTATCTCTTGTCAGCTGTCAGGTTTGAGGATGGCTCCCTTTTAACTCGTGATGCTTGTCTGTTTGTTTACAGACCTTCGCCCGAACCGAGCTCCCCGAGGAGACGAGAGTTATCGAGCCCAACATGGCGGTGACAATGGACCTCAAACCGGAGAGGTAAGATTTTCGAGCCCTGGACCTTGGGGACAATAATTGATCAGAGTAGATTGAATGTTCACTTGAAGGAGGATGGAACCGTCTCGCATGTCAGCCACGGGTAGAAGAGTTGCCAGTGGTGGGGAGTGAGAGAATCAGCTGAAGAATCCGATGAAATGAATACGATGAATTTCTAAATAATCAAATTGATCTTTAAATCCAAAGAACCAACTTCTGATACTGATAACTTGACAATCTGGACCTCCCTCTCCTTGTCACTGCTGTACTCCATAGGTAAGTAAAGCTGGATATTAAGCCCCTCCAAGTCACATGATTACCCCTCCATCGTTTTTGCTCCACTAACCGCGGGGCAATTCAGGTCAATCAATCTCACAACCAGCATCTACCAAATCTCCATCGCCCATCCCCATCGCCGTCTCGACCCAACGACGACAACAAAGTTCACGATGTTTAAAAAAGAGTACACGGTCCCCCATCAATCTCTCGACCCGGTCATCTCTTGAATTGAACTCCCAGCTAATCCCTCACAGCCTCTCCCCCGGATCAAAATCCAAAGTCAAATCCTCCGTCCAGCGCGCCATCCGCACACAGCTCGTCCAGACATATCCCTTACTAGCACCACACATCGACGAGATAGTCCCCAAGAAGGAGCAGCTGGATGCCATGAAGATGTAGCTTCCCCGGTCTATCTCCTCGATACGAACCACCAATTCCCACCCCAAAAGAGACGGCCAGATGCTGATTGATATATGTGTACTCAGCCCCGACAGAGTAACCCTCTATCTGATCGGCAGCACCCCCCTCTTCTTCCAACACATGACCGACGCCCTGCTGCCGCACCTCCGCCTCGTGCACCGCTTCCCCACCTGCTTCCCCTCCATCCGCATCGACCGCGGCGCCATCCGCTTCGTGCTCTCCGGCGCCACGCTCATGGCTCCCGGCCTGACATCCGCCGGCGGGCGGCTTCCAAACGGCGACGACGAAGAGACGGGCGCGTATGGAGAGACCAAGGGCCCGAATAGTGGGTGGTATGGAGGACGGGAGCTGGAAAAGGGCGAGCCCGTCGTGGTGTGTGCCGAGGGGAAGGAGGAGGCGTGTGCGGTGGGCTTGCTGAGTATGGGGACGAAGGAGTGTAAGGAGAAGGGGAAGGGCCCGGTGGTGGAAGAGGGGCATTTTCTGGGCGATGGGCTGTGGAGGCTGAGTACAGATTGAGTGGGGGGGTGGATATGGGTGGGACTTGAATATCGGAGCGGATCAGAGGGAGACATTACAGTTGCTGCAAGGCTGCTGCAGACTTGAAGCTCATTGTTGGAGTAGAGGGCCGGCATTCCAAGTGCTCAAAGTCATTTTCCGCTAGGGGACTTGTGATGGCTTTCAAGCCCGAGTGCCTCTCACCAGGAGGATTTGGGCTGCAATACGGGACGGTAAACTACCCCTTCTTGAACCCATCGGTTCTAAAGCCAGGTCTCTGTCTCTCGATTTTCTTGCATCAAATTTTTAGCACTACGGCTGCAGTCCTCCCCATCAACCGGCCATGACAGGCAGTAGTATTAACATACCTTTCTTAATGTCGAGCTATCCCGATGTTGCAGCAGAATTGGCCGCAATTCTTCAATCCTGAGAACCCAAATAAATGATATGCTATCGCCATTACAACAGAAAGGTCATGGACTAGCAAATTCTGCCTTCTATATTAATCGGCATCCGGCCTGGTGGTTTTTTTTTTTTTATCTTTTTATAGCATAGGGGTATGTATATATATATGTTGCCTGATTAGGTATCTATCGTTTGAATTTTTATTTCAGTTTTTCAATGAGTCTGTACGTACGGGAGAGGAGATGTCCCGCCTAATGAAGAAGATAATGGTCATGATGATGATGGTGCTTTTGGGGTTGCGTTGTGTTAAGGAGGGAAGGAGGAGTGGATAGATGGATGAGTGGATGGATGGGGGGGTTTTATTTTGTTAGAGATAGATGGATAGGGATAGGTAGATGGGTGGGGTGGGTGAGGGAGGAGTTGGGTTGGGTTGGGTTGGGTTGGGTTGGGTTGGGTTGGGTTGGGCGTTCCTTTCTTCCCTTTTCGTTTGCTTCTCTTTTCTTTCAGTTCTGTTTTGCTGGGGGGGTTGGGGGAGGGGAGATTTTATTCGATTTTTGTCTTTTTACATAGGGTATCTTAATATCTGTCGTCTTTGAAATTTAAATGGGTTTCAAAGTGAATCCTGCAAGCGTGATATATATTAACATATCTAAAGAGGGGGGATAGGAGAAGGGAGGGAGATCAAGCCGTGGGCGATAACTAAATGGAGAGATGAAGAACATGTGCATGCATAGCAGAGAGGATTACGACGTTGAGTTGAGTATCCGCGAGGAAGATCAGGATGGCGATGAAGTAGGAGAGGAAGAGGATCCGGCGTTTGCGTTTCTTCGGCGGCTGGGAATTTTTCGATGTTGTGTTTGTTTTCGCTTGCACGTATCTCTTTTGAGATCTCTCCCTCCAAGTATTTTGTTGTCAAGGGTAGTTTCTGCTGTCATTTTTATAAAGATATGTATGTTTTTATGTATGTATGTATATGTATACATAGCTTATATCGTTTTTGTTAAGTTCCACGTATCATAGATGCTGATAACTAGCGGCAGATTCTCTGTTTCTTTTCCGACAGTTGGAAATATGGAGAGGTATTAGCGAGCCTTACAGTTCTGGATATGTAATCTCATTATAGCAGACTAGTCGGCTTATTTCGAAGGGAGAGGGCTGACTTCTTACACTTACTTATATTCTACATATCAGTTCGTCACGGTGACGCAGAAGAACAGGGAGGTGAGCACTAGTACTCGATGATTGGTTACTGACTCTTGGTTTTAAGAGCTTGTCGTTGAGTTAAGAGGCTGTCTATCTTCTCATTTAGATAAATAAGAACTTCTTCAATACTTTTCTTGCTATATCTTATGATGAAATCGTAGTTCTTTCTCCCTTTAGCTACCTAAGATCATATTTGTTAGTCATCGATCTATAGTATGATAAAGATGAATCGTGCAGCGAGGGAAGCAATGAATGCGAAAATTTTCTGTCCTACTCGTAATCAGAAATCACGCAAGCTGGTGGTGGAGTAGGGCCGGATCGGCGGTGGCTCCGATTAGCACTCCGCAAACAGACCAGGCGATACCTGCGCCGAATAGCAAAGCTTACCCGCTCCTAACTGACGTCGCTAATGCAGAGACTATTCGAGAGATTAAAAATATCCTCTCTAGGAAATACTTCTACCATCCACTTTGGCCTACTTGCCCTCCGACATTTTCGGTCAGATATTAAGGACTATAATACTAAATTTTAACGACCACCCTCTTGACACTTAGAACCTATAACCTAGATCTTACACAAGGCAAACTACAATAACTAGATCTACTAGCTCAATTGCCTTAATCGATATTGCTCTTAGAAGCCTCATTTTCCCGCAGAATCTTGATCAGATCGAAATCTTGAAGCAACGAAGGCTCTTTTTTTCGGAAATTTACAAGTCACTTCTCTTAATAATCACCCTTAACAAATGACTAAGGAAGGAGCAAAATAGCACTTTACTTTCTTTACATTCGTCTTTTTTAAAATTAGAAAACATACTACTTTATCTTAAAGACGCAGAACTTCACTTAAAAACCATCTTATTTTTACTTTTACTTTTCTAAAGTCACTCTCTATTATCGACGGCTTTAATCTTATCAAAGGCAGAGCTAAGCTCCTTAATTAGGAAATCCCTTCAAGAATCCCTTTCGAGAATATACCCTTGGCTATCTAGATCACTGATATCACTCTCCGTCGACTTACCTTCAGCCAGTTAAGCAGGATTACGACTTTGATACCCACCTACTACCTTACAAGACACTTAAGTTATCCAATTCGAACTCAGAGCGGAAGTTAGGGTCTACTACCTCAGAGCCGCAACCAACACAGGATTCCTCCCGGGCTTTAGACCTGCACACGAAGTGCAGACTCCCTGCTGTGATGGCCTGAGGCTGCCAGGCCTGATAGGAGCACGTAGACGCTAGGGGAGTACATAGATTTCTCCCACCAAGGAGAACTTAGAAATG